CAATGCTTGATGCCGCATGCCGCCTCTCATACCAGAAGCCTTATGGCCAACAAAGGTGTCCACCAAAGCAGCACCCAGGGCAGCTGTGGCTACTTTGGTGCCCTTCTCGCCGATCCAGGGCCCGGGCTCATTACGCATCTGATAGGCCGCTTGGCTGCCGACACGAAATGCGGTCTGGGCAGCTTCACCAAGAGCTGCGTACCCAACGGCAGACTTCGCCCGTGGCCGAGCTCCTCGCGCGGCGTTTCCTATGGCAGGATTCCTGGGCACAGACCGACCCCTTGTGGAGCGTTCCTGCCCTGGTTGGACAAAGCGGCCTGGCGAGTCATTTCTCCCATTACCGCGGCCCGGGGCCGCATGTTCAGCAGAGCGTTTATGGGGTTCGTTCTGGTAGTCTGAATGGCGAGCACGATATGTCGCGCTAGCCCTACGCGGAACAGCGCCGTCATCCTCTGCGTGACGTGACCTTCTCCTATCGCTGATCTGAGGCTCTGGATCGTAGTCGGCATAACGGGAGCGGCGCGTATTACTGGGACGCATTTCTGGGTCATAGTCAGGGTATTTGGCGCGTCTTGTCTCGCTTGTTCGGGGCGGGTGGTAGGCATGTTGTCGCTCACGACCCCGACGAGATGCGGGCGCGTATGTGTCGAAGCCTTCTCGATCATTGGTGGCCCGATACGAGTCCCCCGCGGAGGGCCCATGGCTTCGCGCTCGCCGAGGGAGGGCTTCATCGTAGTCGTCGTGGTAGTTTTCCTTAGGAGCTTTGCGATCACGCCTTGTATCTACTGGAGCTATGTGGTCGTCCAGTACGGTGTCCTTGCGCTCTTTGCGGTGCCTGCGGGTCTCGCGAGGATCTTTCTTTTGAGCATGTTCTCGCGGGTTATCATCGTAAGAGGCAACAGGTGCGGCTGCAGGCTCAGATCTGTGGCGACGGCGAGGTCCCGGGCTGCGACCCCTGGGAGGATATGGGTCGTCGTATGGGGCGGCTGCCGGACGGCGATACTGATATGCATGCGGCGGGTAAGAGCCATCCAAATCGATGTCGGGTGCTCGACGGTGAGGGCGTCCCATCCTTAGTCAGGATGGTCGGTTGTGTATCCAGCTGATGAGAGGAGGCGAGGGAGGTAAAGGATGGTCAGACAGGCAGATTTGTAGCGAGAATCCTAGTGGCTTTTGGGAGGATTGATTCTAGAGACGAGCATGGTGAGCAAAGAGACGAAGACTATGTGAGGGGGAGGAAACCTGGGGGTTGCGTATATAACAGTGCGTAAATCACACGGGAGTCCATGTTGTCGTCGTTTGGGGGTGGGGAGGGGTGTGGCGTGGGTTTGGGTTGGTTGGTTGGTTGGGTCAGGATGATGGGTGCGAAAATGAAAAGGTCTGGGTGGATTGATGGAGAGACTAGTCTAGGCAGTGTCGACAGGCCGGAAGATGAAGCCAATACGATTGCAGGCACACATCCCTCTTCCCTCTGGTCTGAATGACTGCCTGTCTGTCATGGAAACCAGGCCTGACCAGCCAAAAACCGAGATCAGACGGGAGTTGTTTAACGAGGATAGCGTCACACGTAGGCGATCGGCTGACCGCTGTAGTTTTGCGGGGGTTTACGGGTCGGAGGACTCCACTGCAGTCGCGTGCGTTCGCTCAGTGGCTCGGGGTAATGTTGGGGCTCTTTCTTGCTTCCCACAAGTGCGGTCTTAGTCTTCCTTCGCCTCACCTGGTGGAACCAGTGAGGCAACCTCGAACTCTGCATCATACTTAGCCGTAGGTCGTTTGATAATAAGTCTTTCTCCAAGGGCCCGGCCTGCCACGTCGTGTACTCTCCTCACCAATATTGAGTCTGACCTCTATTCCCCCCCCCCCCCCCCCCCCCCCCCCCCCTTTTCTTCTTTTGCCCTTTCCTTCAATCTGATTTCATGGCTCTAGTCGCCCGTTATTCCAATATTCGTACCCAATTATCTAACCAAGCAAGCAGAACTTGGCGTCTCAAGGTCACCTTGTTACATTATCACGACATGGGCTCCGGAGGAATTCGCTGCAGGGCGGTTGTGTTGTGGCGGCATCTGGAGTGCTGCAGAATTCGAGGAGCGGAACTTGCCCTGAGCCAGCCTATCGTTGGTTGTGGCCGGCTGGAAACCCACATCTAGACCTCGGACCCCCGTGCCAACGACATGCAGGGTCCAACATATGACGTCACATGAGGTCAAGGTGCGTCTTCAAGCCACCATCCAGACAAATGCTGTTGGAGTTTGCAATCCCAAACGCATTGCATCCGCACACCTGCATCACGATCCAACATCATGAAGTCAGCTTGTCCACAAATTCATGGCTAATCTGCCTATCAAGCCCCCCTGAATCCCGAGGTGCAAGCAACTCCGTGGCATCACAGCACTGATCCCAACTTCCACTCCAGGTGTCGTTAGTTCAGCTTTCTACTAGTCGAACTACCCAACACCTGACTTTTCACTAGTCAGTGTCCTCGACACCGCTTGACTGCACACTCACAGCCAAACCAATGCATCCTGTAGGGAAGGAGAAAGAATGCAGGGCGGTCAACACTTACTTCGGCCCAGTCTGCATGGTACTGCTTCTTTGATCAGACGGTACTCCTGCTGAAGATTCGCTGCGGGTGACGTCGTGAGATTACTTGACATGGCAATGAAGTCCAATCGCTCAACCTGAGGCGGCACACTACCTAGGTAGGCCAGCATTCATCACATCACGCGACGTGAAAGGAAAGAGAGGGGCAATTGCATTTCGGGTGTCGCTTCAGATCGGCCCTGAGTTCTGGGAGCGTTAGGTGCCGAGTTGGACACGTCCCCCTTCAAAGGTTATCAAGTTCGGATGACATTCAACTACTTAATCTGGCGAAGGCAGAATCCTTATGATGGGTACTGGCATGGATGGAAACCTCGATAATCGAGTCTAGAGGTGCAGGCGCTAGCATCGGCGTTCCTGAGACTCGCATGGGTTTGCTGGCCAACTTTCGACTTGACCAGAAGCCATCCGTTGCGCAAGACCAAACTTCCCACCTTAGATGCTATGCACAGGCCCTATTATTGAGCCAAGGCTAGCGCGGTGTGGGATGGATGATTACCTTAGCAAAGCAGGCCCCTGGGACTTTTCCTACTTTCCCGCCGCTGGCCTGGTCTGACTCAGCAATACCGCCCGCATCTCGATGCGTGCTGTGGTTTCTCTCTGAGCACAAAGTTCTAAAGAGATCGCCTATCCTTCCTGTGTCTGCGCGGCTATATTTCCTGCGTACTTAATCACTCCTGTTCAGAGACGATAGGAGCAGCGACGACGACGATTGAAGCACGACGATAAGTAGACTAGCCACAGGAAAAGTAGTCGGCATAGCACAGGAGAAATAGGCGGTCTCGTTCTAAAATCTCACACAAGCCTCAAGCAAGTCGGACAAGGCATCGCCGAGGTTGGGTCGGTCCCAAACCCGTGGCACCGTTCCATATCACAAGCGGGCTGCGCACATGTGCCGTGGGAGACAGGACCCTGATTAACATACAACGCTGCTGTTCAAATATTGCCACTCCGGTCTTCGGGCATCGCGATTTCGAGACTCTAACATCAGCCAAACAGTCCTACGGTCGTGTACGAATACGTTATTCTGTGGGCGCTTTCCCTCCCGAGCTCTCGGATCCCGCGGTGCAATCCCGGCGAAGTGCGCTGGTTTCTGATTAGTGCTGGTCTGTCGTATTTTCAGCGATATCCAAAAAGAAAGCGGGGCCAAAGATAAGAGATGTCTCGTTTGGGTTATATGTCCCGTGCCGCGAAGTTGTCCTTGGATAACGGTCGGCTGTTGTCCATCTGAACATGCCGCCGTATTCTCCACAACCGAGAATGAGATGGGTTGCCCACCTTGGACGAAGCTAGGCCAAGATGACAGTGCATTGACATGCCATCTGATCCCGAACATTCGGGTCGTTCCTTCGCTTCGTGCATGAACCAAGTGAATGTCACTGAAAAGGATGGAATATCCACCCCGGAAACTTGGGACATTAGATCGAGGCTGCACTGTCTACGACGCTTCAAGGCTGGCCGTGAAACTCTGCAATGAACACACATTGTAGAACGCATCACGCTTAGCCGGTAGCCACTGGTGATGAAATACCTAGTCTGGAGCCGCGGCCAAAGAAAGTGTGGCCAGGCTTGCAGCGGTATGTGTCACGACAGCGAGTCAGTGACTATAACCCAATGGAATCTGCAAACACTTGTTCTTGCATACTCAGAACCGAGCGACGTCAGCAGGATCGCCAAAAAGCTATCTATCGTGACCACACCAGAATCACATATCCCATTTAATTCGACCATCTTTCGAATCTCTGGGACTCATAAGATGATCCACGCGCGGAAACGGCATGGCCGTCAGGCGAGGGCATGATTCCTTCCTTCCTGCACATCCTCACTCATGCAGTCTGGTGGTGGTGGTGAAGGCGTTTGTCGGCGATGCGCTAGCGCTGCGGTGTGCCCTCCCTCGGTTTCCCAACTTGCAATTCGTGGGGGTGGGCCGGGCCCTTGCTGGAGTGAGCTGGCAATCACAATCGAAATCGTAATCAGCAGCCGGGGTGCATGTCGGGGGGCTCCTATCGCTCAGACGAATGGCAGGTAACAGATTAGACGTGAACTGGACCAAACATGCGTACACTCTTTGCCGTCGGTGGAGTGGTCCGCCGACGACCGTTCTTCGCCCGGTTTCGTCCAAGAAGTCGTCGCCAGGCATCCAACCACGATAACGAATGACGGGGGACGTAGTCCGGGCGACGCCGTTCGGGCAAAGCAGTTGTAGAAAAGGGGAGGGTGGGTTTCTCCGGCCGCCAATTAATCCATCCATCGACAGCTGGTGGCGCAGAGACAACAAAGTCAGAAAGGGTATCTGTACGTATCTACTGATTGTACTGTACCAGAGGCTGGAATCTCAACATCAAGTAGGTACCCAAGAAACGGAAGCGCCCAGGGCAAGACATTACATCGCAGCAGTGGATATGGTGGACATGGCCGGCTTGGCGACAACCGGGACGTGGCCTTCGCCGACTTTGTCTCGCATGGCTGGTTTACCAGATGAGCTTGTATTACCAATACCAGGGCGACAACTACTATGTATGTGCTAGCTACCTACTGCGGAGGAGCTGACGATGCTGATGCCAAGAACGAACGACATGGAGACTGATTAGGACATGTCGCCCTCCCGTCGCCAGCACACCATACCGACCGCGCCATCTGAAGAGTTCCACGAGGTGGCGCTGTCCGGTATCCGGCGGTCTGATGGCGCTGTCAAGACGCACTGCTGCGGTGTCAAGCTGGAAAAAGAAAGCAACGGACGGCGTTGAAGTCCACACGCGAGGCTGTCCTCAGCTACCTATACCTTACCTCATTGCCTGTTATGGTACCGGACGTCTTTTGGGCTCTCTCACTACGGCCCCGCCCGGCCACGGCGGGCCACGTCCAAGAACAGCATAGCACCGGGCCTGTGAGCCCAATCAAGCGTGGCAATCGCCCCTCTTCGAAGCTGAAAAATGGGGTGTTAATCCCGCGGTCAATGGGCGGCTGCGGCAAGTAGAGATAGCTGCCCCGGCCGAGACAGCTGCCCCCATGTGGAGGCACCAGGCGGGCTGCAATGTACTGTGCTGCCGGTCATCGGCCGCGAGGCTCCGCCTCGTACAATCGAACACAGTATGCGTACATCTCATCCCACGGAGGTTCCGGCACGGCACCGATGGCAATGGTTGGTTTATTGCTGAGCCTCCAAAGCCCAATGTACCTGAGTGTGCTAAGTCAGTCCCCGAAGGAGACTTGGTCCCGAAAACCAGGGCGGGAGGGAAGAGGGAGGCAGAGATGCCAGAACAATGAAAGTGACTATTATGCGTGCAACAAGTCCCCTCCGTTCTAGGCTTCCTGCCATCTTTGCCCGGCTGCGGTAGCAGTGACAGAGGCAGTCGGCGCGATACCACCATCAGCCGGGGCACAGCATGATTCAACGTCGGAGAACCCTTAATCAAGACCAAGTGCTCACCGACCCAAGGTTCCTTGCCTTAGTGTGCATTTCCCGTACCTTAAACCACCTTAGCTCAAGATGGGTCCGAACCGTGCAGTCAAAACATAGAGCTCCTCGACTTCAATGGGGACTTTTTACCTGCACTTCATGCCCCTGCCCTAATGCTAGGCAAGGCGAGGTACCTACCCAAGGTAAGGTAAGGTCGGGTAGGCCGCACTTTTGTGCGACTGGACGCTGTTTTCCAAACCCGAAAACCTTTCCGCCTCTTTTGTGGGTCGCGAGTCCAAATTTCCGTAACATCCAATTCTACTTCTCGACTTCTGCAACCCGCCATTTGCGGCAACGATGCTCTCGTCCTGACCCTGACCATTACCTTTTCCCGCTTGAGCACACATACTCACGGGCCTCTCTCCTTCCTCCCAGCACCTATGCTGTTCTGCATTTGAATGGCGCCGTGTGGCGCTCGATACGGCAGGTTTCTGACGTGACATGGCACCTGAAATTGGACGATAAAAGTGAGGGAGTTCCATTCCCGAACGAAGCCACACCGAATGGAGACCTAGCTGCTGGCGGTGGCGCCTCCATACCATGTGGTGAGGACGGGAGGGTATCCATTCGTGTGGCCAAGTGAGTAAACGGCCATACTAATCGTGGGTCCTATCTCTGATGACCTGCCTTAGATATCGGCTTAGCCATACCTTAATCGGTAGCCGCGAAAGAAAAAGACAGCGGTCGGGACGCGCTTCCTTTGTTTCTTCTCCCCTCCCCCCTCGTCGCCCCTTCCCCTCCCCGTAGAATCCATCAATACTTTTTCAACCCCGTCCATGAGTGAGTTGAGTTCAGCTTGACTTCTAGCCCGTTGACGCGACCGCGTCGCACACAAGCGCCGCGACGCCCTCTGCCTTGGTAGGAGGTGGTCCGGTCCAGCCTTCATTTGGATACCTTACCACGGCGACGTCGACGTATAGCGCCCAGGACGCTGCCATGCATGCGGTGCGATGCCATGGCTATGTATCCGGGCCGGATGCAAGTACCTTCCCGCGCTAAAGGGCTTGTCCGCCTTGCCTCACATACCTTACTAGTCTTTGCGATACATGTACGGATGCCACACCATTCTCTTGACATACTGCGTAGAACGATGGAAGCCAAAGTTAGAACGTGGGTGCCATGCCATGCACCTCCATCGCATCAAATCCCATCGTTCCAGCATCCGTATCCTTGCCCACCTGCCCGCCTACGGCCTGCGCCAGTGATCCACGCCATGCCCCATCACAGGCTGGACCCCCCGCCCCCCCGGCGATCCAGCAAATGATAATCATTTTCGCGCTATTAAATAATGGCTCGAGTTTTCTTTGATAACGGGACTGACTGGCTGGATGTTGTCCATCGGCCTTGCCTCCTCCGAATTTGCTGCCGCGCATTCTACGCAGCAGGTTGATAAAAACCTGACGTCTTGCCGCTCTCTCGGACAGCTTGCTGCTTCTCTAGGCTTGTCCTCCTCCTACCCACTTATCACCGTTGTCCTTGTCCGGTCTTCGTCGGCAGTGCGATCTCGAACCAGATCTGTTGCACTGGAACCTCCTGCGTCCTCGCAAACTACCTATCGCTGGTGTCAAGTTGACTGAAGCTTTCCCGGTCTTGCTTTTCACGCTTGCTTTTCCGGCGACGAAAATCTACGCTGCCACCTTTCTCACTTTGATCAGACTCTATCGGCTTTTGATCGCCACACCTGGTCATATTTTCTTCTTCGTTTCCATTTTCTTTCTTTCCCCTGGCCTGTAGACTGGGCCGTCTGATCTCTCCTCGGACACCAACGCTGAAGAGGGAGGGGGGAAAATTTTGTGCAAGATGGGGTGGATTCATAACGCCAATGCCAAGATCGCCGCTAGCCCGGTCGGTCGGTGGTTCCAACTTGAAGGCTCCGGCCATGTAAGTCGCAGTGCCCCTAGATCATTCCTTGACTATCCCAATTGGCGTTGAGCTCGGCTCGCCTGCTTCTCATGGTCGCAGGTCGCCGTCAGACGCGAGGATGGCAGGACTGGATGGTTTTCTTGCCCAATATCTGACTGCGGTTACTAACCGAAACAACTGCAGCCCCGAGAGCGTAAGGGCTCGTACTTCTTCACCGAGATCCGTGCCGGTCTTGTCGCCTTTTTCGCCATGGCTTACATCATTGCCGTCAACTCGTCCATCGTGTCTGATACCGGCGGCACCTGTGTTTGCCCTCGTACAGCCGATGACTTTACTTGCGACAAGGACGAAGATTATCTGCTGTGTGTGGCTGAGGTGAAGCGCGACATCGTCACTGCTACCGCCGCCATCTCTGCTCTGGCCACCTTTTTCATGGGTCTGCTTGCCAACATGCCCGTTGGCTGCGCCCCGGGCATGGGTCTGAACGCCTACTTCGCTTACTCTGTCGTCGGCTACCACGGGACCGGCGCCGTTCCCTACCAGGTCGCCCTCACTGCCATCTTCATTGAGGGCTTCATATTCTTCGGCCTCGCTCTGCTTGGGATGCGCCAGTGGCTTGCCCGTGCCATTCCCCGCTCTATCAAGCTCGCCACCGGTGTCGGCATCGGCTTCTTCCTCACCCTGATCGGTCTGACTTACAGCGAAGGTATCGGCCTGATCGTCGGTGCCACCTCCACCCCCTTAGAGTTGGCCGGATGTGAGCAAGGCCTCATGGTGGACGGCCTTTGCCCCTCTTCAACCAAGATGCGCAGCCCAACCATGTGGATTGGCATCTTCTGCGGTGGCATACTGACCGTCATGCTCATGATGTACCGCTTCAAGGGCGCCATCCTCGCTGGCATCATCCTTGTCAGCATCATCTCCTGGCCCCGCGGGACCGACGTTACCTACTTTCCCTACACTGCTGTCGGGGACTCGAACTTCGACTTCTTCAAAAAGGTTGTCGATTTTCACCCCATTCAGCATACCCTCAATGTCCAGGAATGGAATGTTGCCGGTTACAGTGGCGCCTTCGGCCTTGCCCTCATCACCTTTTTATATGTCGATATTCTTGACTGTACCGGCACGCTGTACTCGATGGCTCGATTCGCAAACCTTATCGACGAGGAGACGCAGGATTTCGAGGGCTCTTCTGTCGCTTACATGGTTGACGCCCTTAGCATTTCGATTGGCGCCCTCTTCGGCACTCCCCCAGTCACTGCTTTTGTCGAGTCAGGCGCCGGCATCTCTGAGGGCGGAAAGACTGGCATCACTGCAATGATGACTGGGCTTTGCTTCTTTATATCAGTCTTCTTTGCTCCTATCTTCGCTTCTATTCCATCCTGGGCTACCGGCTGCGTCTTGGTTCTTGTTGGATCCATGATGGTCCGGGCCGTGACCGAGATCAATTGGAGATACATGGGCGATGCTGTCCCTGCGTTCATTACTATGGCTCTTATGCCCTTCACGTATTCCATCGCCGATGGCCTGATTGGTGGTGTCTGCAGCTACATCTTGATCAACACCCTAGTCTGGGTGATCGAGAAGGCCTCTTTTGGCCGCATAGTTCCCCCTAATAAGGACGAGAAGGATCCTTGGACGTGGCGCATTCCTGGTGGCATCCTTCCGCCGTGGGTTAGACGTCTCATCAAGGGCAAGAAGGACTTCTGGCGTGCAGACCACCAAGATGGCGGCAACGTCGCCGAGGAGCCTCAGCCTCTGGAGAAGACGGCCAGTTCTGACCAGGGTGGCTCGGTGAACGGGAAAGACAAGGACGTTGGCGAGACCATCTCACCGCGGGGTGACAGGTCATCTTGAGTGGTATCAGTAAGGGAGGATCTTGGAAATTATAAACATAAAGTACGAATGTCTTGCTTGTTACTTGGACAGGATACCCGACCATGGACATGCGTCCAGCATTATTTGCTTTAAATTTACAACAGCAGCAGTAATGAGAAAGGTGAATATTCCCACCCGTGGTGCTTGCTACTGGCTTGGTAGGGTGTTTTTGCCGGACATACTGCGAGTGGCTCTCATGACGTACGAGCTGGTTCAGGCCCTGACATCCTCGCCATTGCCGAGAGTAGCAATCGTGCCAATTGCAGACTCAACAATGCCGTCCTGAGTATCGTGGGGGCTTGCAGCTTCAGCGTCGGTGGATACGGCTGGTGCCGTTGTGACGGCTTCGCTTCCAGCTTGTTCCATGGCAGCAAGTCGCGCAGCCCTGCCTTCCTTCTTTCGCGGTACCGGTGCTGTGGGATGTATCAGTAGACGAATCATTGCCACAGATTTTCAATGGCAACGAGAACTTACCGCGGCCATTTTCCTGGACGTAGAAACGCCGGAGAAGACTGACAGCTTCGTCACGGCCCCATCCGCCCTCTGCTTCGAATCCACGCTCCACGTTGCCACCATCGCCGGGTTGGTCTGTTGCTTGGCGGTTGCCCATCAGCATGCTCTTGTTCGACGAAGAGCTAGATGGTCGGGAGATGTTGCTAGCGTTAGTGGAGACCTGGAGAGGCTTTGTTGCAGGGGTAGGATCGGACGAGCTGGTTGAGTTCTTGTGAATGCTGAACACGCCACCGGTGCCGCCAAACTTGTCGTTGACAGCGCCGAAATAGACCTTGTTGATGCCAAGCTGTCGCAGAAGGCCAGCACACATGACGCAGGGTTCGACTGTAACGTACAGAACACACTCCCGGACAATGGAGCGGGCGACTTGAGTATCTCGGTGCAGCTTCTGACCGTAGGGGTACAGGTGACCGTTTCTGACATAGTCATCGTCCATAGGGAACAAGTCCGAGTCGTCGTCATCTTGAGTGTCAGACTTAGAACGCTGGTCGGCCGACGAGTCGAATTGTTTATCGGCCGGCTTCTCAGACTTGCCCGCTCCGTAGGAGAGAAGGGCGGACAGTGCCATGAACTCAGCATGCCGGGTACCGTTCCGAGTAACATTTGTTGCATTCATGCCTCTGGCCACGACGGCTCCCTTGTGGACGAGAACACAGCCAACGGGTGTCTCGTTCGTCCTCAAAGCCAGACGGGCCTGCAGGAAAAGTCAGCCACTGCGTTGAACAACCTCATCATCACGTGGCATTCAAGAATAACCACAACCTACCATATCCAGAGCCTGGTCCATGAAGACCTGATGGATGCGCTTTTCCCCGGTAGGAGTGTAGGGGTCACGGTTGATGGAGCCGGACGACCGAGGTCGAGAGGCTGCGTCATCGACGGAGAGGCGGGTCAAGACGGCAGTGGGAGCGACAACTGCAGTTGGGGGAACTTGATTCTCCTTGTCGTTGGTCAAAGCAGGAGCGGTCATGGTCTTCGGAGAATCTGGGTTTCCGGCTGAGTCTCGAGTATGGGAAACGATGGTTCGAGGTGCGACATCGGCCATTTTCGATTGTTCCAATGATGGTGGCAAGTTTTGTTCTCTTGGGGGAGATGATTGTGACTGGGAAGACGCTGCTGAGGCGGATGGAGGTGAAGGGGAATGTGATGGTGAGGTCAACGGTGGAGCAGATTTGGTGTTGGGAGAGAAGGGGGATTTGAGACGGGCGAAGACTGTCTGTAGGAATTTCCCAGTCGTTGAAAACCGCTGCATCCTTCTTTCCTGTGACTCGGAGTCATCTGGGGTCGATCCCATTGTGGAAGGCGCCTTCGTCATATTGCCCATCTTGGCAGGCTCGTCGATGCCTGCCAGTCAACAAGACTTCTTCTGGACAGGCTGGGCAGGTACCGCAAAGATCCCAGACAGCAACAACAATACTTAGATGCGCACTTGCAGGTGCAGGAGCAGCCTCCGTGGGCCTGGGCCTAGGCCTGAAGGTCTGGGTTATCTCCCTCTTTGTAGAGCAGAAGAGCAGGCAGGCTCCAGGTTTCAGGCACCTCTTTTGAGCAAACAAGTGGTCTGCTGATGAAATCAACACTACCTGACACAATCTTCTTTTGACTGCTCTCAAGTCCGCAGCTTGTCTAGGTCATCTGATTCAGCGTTCCTCCTCATCAAAGCCTTAAGGTTAGGAGAGGTCAGCATCGACCTTTCAAGGCAGAGATCGGGCACGAGAATACAGCACCAAATACCTAGTCCGTAAGCTTCCCAGTCAAAAGGTCTTTGTTGGTCTTTCCGATAAGAGTCTCTAGAAAAGTACAAGATAAAGGGTAGTGTCTAAGGCGACAGACTTGAAAACCAATGGCGACTCAAACCTGCCGGCAAAAAAAAAAAAAAAAAAAAAAAAAAAAAGTAGAAAAGAAGGGGACTGAAACAGGTGGGAAGCAGGTAAGCCCAGGAGTTCAGTTTTCAGTTGCAATGACTACTCCCTATGGCGAGAAACAGGCCTCAACCGGAAAGTCTTCTGCCCAGCCTACCTATGGTGAAGTCTGTTCGTCGTGGTCGATACCGAGAAACCAAGTTCAGAGTGCACAAACAACCCATCAGTCACATCGTGAGATGAACTAGGTTTGCAGGAATGAAGTGGGAACGTGTTCGATCACGTGATACGAGCTGTTAAGCAGTGCACTGACCATCTGAAAATGCCAAATTATACTACCAACAATTCAACTCGGCTTACCGATCTTACAGTAAATACATATATGCCACACAGGAGTCGACAAAGGAGGCTTGCAAGAAGTGAGTAAGTGCAACAAGCAACTGCTGGTTACACCCATCATGTCACGTCATCTCTTGTTATCATAGATAGAAATGTGAGCAAGACAGTATATTGTTAATCACACAAACTAGCAGGATATACAAGTTCCCTTTCCAACCTGCGCAATCAGCAAGACTGTCTTGCCCGATGATTAAGCTGACATGGCAGCCCTCGCTGGGCAATCATATCTCATCAAAACAGAGGGGTATCTCAGAAACCAACGCTCCCATAAACATCAGCAAACGCTACAACTCATTCCTTGTCCATAGAAGCCAGGAACATCCATCCAAGCCACTGGTCAACGAAGTGCCTATTAGAGCACTTGCGCGAAGCGCAGAAGCCTGGGCTCAACTGCCGGGCTCGCCCGGGGGTTTTCCGCGGCAATCTGGCGACGGGTGTGTCGTAGTCTCGTGCTGACGCAGGAGAGTAGCCTCGCGCTGTCGCTGAAGCCTTGCGGCTTTGGCGTGGTACTGAGACGGCTCTGTTGCGGTCTCAAGCCATGGAGACTTGAGTAAGGGTAGTAGGCCTCATACATAACGAGGCCAAAGAGGATCTGGACAAGGCCACCAGCAAGTGCTCGGGCTTCCAGTGAAGTGCCAATCTTGCCAAAAACTGCCACAATCAGTACTGCAGACAATAGTGCCTGTGTCATGGACAGCTGATCGACAAGAGCGCGACATGCGATTACTACATGATCGCCGACCATGGCCTCAATCGCGCTTTGCACTCCAGTCACCTTAGTGAGCGAAGACCGGGAGCTGAGCGGCGCAGACGTGCCACGACTAATCGCCGACGATGTGCTGGCAACCGGCGCGCCACGTGCTGGCGTGGCCGTGGTCTCGCCAACGCTCTCACCAGAAATTGTCGCCGTGGTAGTCGCGTAATAAGACTGCTCCTCGAACAGTGTCGAGAAGCGATCTGAAGAAGCAATGGTGGGTAGCGGTACTTGGCTTGGCACTGCTCGAACCGGAGACGCGTTGAAGCTTCCGCCTTGTGCGATTGCTAGTGACGTGTTGGAACTACTGGCCAGCGCAGCGCGGGCAGAGGTCAGTCTCGTAGTAACGTCGCTGGCGGACTGGTGCGATAGGGCTCCATCATGACTGCCATATGTCAGCAGCGGTGATTGTGCTGACCGGCTTCGGCAGGCATCTGGACGGATGGTGGAGGAGGCGCCAAGGTTCTGTTCCACTGTCAGCGTGAACATTGAAGTTAGGCAGTCAGAAGTGCGCACCAGTGAGACATTTTCAATCTCTGAAAATGAGGGGAGTGCTCTTCCACCTGATGGTAAGATATGCCCATGATCCACATAGGCAGTTTCGAGGAGTTGCGGTAATGTCAAGGCGCCGGAACCAGCTGTGCTGACCGCAGCTCTTTGGGCCAGGTTGCCTGTCTCGGCATCGTGTAGGCTTACAGACCGGCGATCTTGGGTCAAGCTTGGGCGCAAAGACGAAGCCTGACCAAAGTTGGAGGCACCAATTTCGTTGACCAAAGCAGAGTCGTCGTCCAAGAAGCTCGGCTCAGGAGAGTACAAGCTGAAATCGACGTAGTTGTTGGCCGGTCCTGAAGCATCCAGGTACGGTAGCGTCGGTGGACGTAGTGCGGCATTCTCGAACGAATCGGCGACAGAGACAGTTTGGAGGATGTCGCGGTTGGCTTGTAGTTGATCGAAAGTGGCGGAGGGCGTCGCGGGCGAACGGTTTGACTGTGGAGAGAGATGGCCCGCGGGGTCGAAGAAGAAGTCGTAGTCGAAGGGGGTGACATTGACGGCCTCGTCGTCATACTGTACGAAGGACTCCCAGGATTCGGAAAAGTCGAAAGATGTGTCGGCAACCTCAAGAGCAGGTAAGATCGGCTCAGTAAACAAGGACGGAGATATGTTATGCTGCGATTGTCGGTCTTTGACAGTACTAGTACCTGGTACAGTCGAGGTTCTGGCTTTCTTCGCTAGCCGAGCTGGGGTGGCGGGTTGCGCCTGCGCAGCTGCGGTACGCTTCTTGTGGCTTGGGTCGCACCGGACCTTCTTCTTCTTGCAAGCATCACAGGCCTTGATGATGCGCATGAGGTGTGCGTGATCCCGTTGCTCCTTCGTCTTGCAGCCGCGAGAAGCAGAATTGGTGACATCGCGGCCATCCTTGGTCATGATCTTCATTCCTGGGAGATGAGAGAAGTCGCTGGCTTGTGATTTGGCGGCAGCAGAAGCACTCTTCTTTGTGATCTTTGTGGGCTTCGTCTCCTGGGCTACCGAAGTAGGAGTTGACACGGACACAGTGCTTGGCGTCGAATGGGACCAGCTCCAGTCCGAAATGACAGGGGAAACGAAGTTGGAGTCGTAGCCGGAATCCTGCACGGGGCTAGACCGGGCAGACACTGCCTGTGTCACGACGGGATAATACTTAAAGGTTTCTCCTGTAAGTTGGGAGTACTCAAAGAAGTCCATCGAAACGGTGGCCCTCTTCTCTTTGATGGAGGCGGGTCCAGGAAAATAGGCATTGATGAGGTCGTCAAGTTGCTGGGTACCCAAAGCAGGGTAGAACTGCAGGGAGGCGCCAAGGAATGGTTGGCAGATTGAGAAGCCCTGGAGAGCGCCGACGGAGTTGTTGCGAGACATGGCCGCCATTTGATTGACGGCGGAAGCTACGGACAGGAAGCGGCGAAACGTGGACGATATTATGATGGACAATCAAGTCCTTGAGATAGAGGTCGGTTCTTTATTGCAGAGCTGGCTGAATCGATTCGTCTGAGAGATTGTAAGCCTCTACGGTATGGTTCTTGCAGCCCGTCCCTGCCGGGCATCTAATTCAAACCATCCCAGTTCCCCGCGTGCAATGGCTTGGCACTACCTAGGTAGGGGGGTATCCGCCGGCCGGTGTGTTGGGGGGGGGGGGTTCGGGCCAGGCAGACATGACCGGAAAGACTTGCGTACCTGGAACAAATTCGATGCGGCAAGAGACTATTACGTTTTTGACGATAGAAGCTTCAGAGCGTGTTACTGTAGGATCGGTTTTTGACTCAGATAGATGAGATAGGGTATTGATGATTTCCAGTGGGAAGGGAGGTAAGCCTGAGGAAGGGGGAAGGTCTCCAACTTGTGAGTGGCTTCAGCGAGTCTATCACTCGGCGTATCAAAGTCGACGAAGAGAGTAGCGAGAAAAGGAAGAAGCGGAAAGGCTTGGGCGGGAAGGGCGGGCGGGAGTCATGGAAGGTATTTCAGGTTGAGGCAGCTCATGTGCACAGCAGCATCGTCTGGTACCTTGTATACCCGGCAAGGCGCAGCCTGTCCGTGGTTTTGATTGAACTCGTCGGCGAGATGAAAATGGACTAGCGCCCTCGCGACGCCGTTTCGTAGCCCAGCCAATCATAGCCGCAAATTGAGGCCAAAGGATCCATTAGAAGTTCTCTAATTGGTTGCCCAGACCCACCTCCAGCGCGCCAGACATAAGATTTTCGGCGACCGAATTGGCTCTCGTCACGTGACTGTGAGTCAGCCTCGAAGTCAATAGCGGCCGCTCCTGGACGTTCGCACCAGCCATGCAGCTTTAGGCGGGGGCGGGCTAAAATGCTGCAATGCTGACAGGCGACTTTTGGGATACGTACCGCGTCCATGCAAGGACATTGTTCTGACTACTTTCGATGCCTTTTCTGAATGTCAGCAAGATGCCACACCCTGCACTATCGTTCTTTCGTCTTTCAAACCCCCTGCTCATAATCCTCGCCCTAGACTCACAGCGATCTGGTTTCCAGCTCAAATCATGGAAAGGACCGAAGGAAAGCAGGATACTGGAAGACTACGGCTTGCAATACAGCAAATGCTTAGGTGTAGCGGGCATCAACAGTCCTCCTTTGCACTGCGCGCACTTTTTGGGACAAGACAGGAGCTGCCCAGGCTGATGTCAGCTAGGTCGTTGGTTCGCACATTACAGGCCTATTCCACCGCGTCACCGGTCTTTATGACTATGATGAGTGTTATGTTCTTCCCGAGCGCTTCTCTCGCTGCCCAGAAAAGAGGATTCGCAATTTGAAGGTCTGGCCCTCCCAGTCGCAATCGTGAACTTCACGAGGCAATATTAAGAAAGATGACTCTGCCGCGCGTTGAGCCCACCCGCCAGCCGAAGGTCTAGATATACGCAGGCTGCAAGGGGCACGAACATAATAGAGGTTCTCTATTGACCTCATTACTACTATATTCTCTATAGGTTTCAATCACTATTATCATCCCTACAAAAATTTACTGTCCCATTGTTAGTGTTGCCCTTCTTACCCTCGTCACCATGCCTATCCTCATCGTCCTCATTGCTGAGCTAGTAGCGAAGGGATGGTTGACGGTGTCGGAATCGACTAAGCCTGACAGAGTAGTACGTTCAACAGACAAAGGTGTGTTCAGTTCCAAACCTAAGACTGCATCTGTCCGAGTTCTACGTTAGGATAGAAGGCGCCTGACCAAGTTGTTTCTGTCGGGACCCCCGCATGTTGGGGATGAAAGAACCTTTAAGAGGGCGTTCGCTGAACTCCTGGGCCTTCGTAGCTGTTTGGAAGCTGAACTAGGCATTTCGCAGTCCAAGTGTTCATTCGTTTGATCGTTCACGCCTTCGTACCTCCAGTGGGCCGAGTTCTTCGAGGTTTCTATACCGGGTAGTATGGTGCGATCGTAGCTGCTCAATCGCAAGGAAGGTTCCGTCCCAGTTTTCGCAGCTACCTTGACATCCCTATGATTCTTCTTGACCTGTCTCCCAATAGCCAAGGGCATATCTTGCTAACTAAGACGAGTGGTGATTCTGCAGGGACGCAGCCCCGCGCCTGTCGATCCCTGGAACGAAAGGCAGTGGGCCTAGTTGCCATGTTGCACTGAAGTAGCAAGTAGAGATGTGGCTGAAATTAACGGGGTTTTCACCTTGCGGTTGTGATACCGGAACGTCACCATGACGATAGCCACTTTGCCAGGTGAACTTGTCGATTCCTAACATGGAACGTAGCTTGGATGGGAGCTCGCACCTTTCTGGTCTGTTGAAAGCGGTGGCTCAAAGTGTAAGACTGAACTTAGAGGCTGAAGCCGGCCACCCCTTCCCCAAGCCTACCATGGCTGCCCAAGTTGCGAACCATGATGTCGAGTAGCAACTGAGAACGGCCGACAAACGACACTTCGAGTGCGAGGTGGGAAAGTAACAATGCCTCGTTAGCTTGCACATGGCAAAGTTGCAATCCTTGGAGAGAGAGCAGTCAAAACAAATTAAGACGCTGACAGTGAATTGGACTCGTATGCTGGCTGTATTGCGTTGATATCATTCTATCCATGAATTTTCCGTCAAGACCGTACGCTGTCGGCGGTATAGGCTCGGTTTGAATATCAGTCCGCATCCAGCGCTATTTCCACTTAGCTAGGCCTTGTACACCCCAACAGATCGTATGCCTCTCTGCTCCACGGTCCGCCATTCGCTTTGGAGAATCCTGGTAAATGTACGGTAGACGTGTCCGCCTCTTCGGGACCGGTATTCTTGTCCGAGTCGGGCTTTGACGCAGTGACACTGGGGAGTGTCAAGCTCGAGTTTGCTGAAATGAAAGATTGTGGGACGGCACCGGCGGCGTCAGATTTTGTAGCCGCCTTACGCCCTCTGGTAGCCGGATTGACGAGTCGAGCTCCTTTCGTTGATTTCGGTACTTCACTTTGTAAGATGTTGATTCCTTCGTTGTTTGAGAATCTGGGTGCCCTTTCATTTTTTCGTTTGTTGACCTCTTGGAAGAAGCTCGACTCTGGCTCAGAAGATTGGTCACGCGATAGCGATTGTCTTTGGTCAAATGAACCAATTATCTCCTTGCTCTTAACGCTCCTCCGGCCAAGAGATGCCAGTCGAGGCCCAACATGAACACTCCAGGCTTCTGTATCCTGATGCGCATCACGCATAGACTGGCCCCCTTGCCCCCGAGAGTGTCGACAGACCATACCTGCGTCGGGCAAGGTCGCCGTATCCATGTCGCGAGATGTCTGCAGCCACTGGTTGTCATTCTGGCCCTCACACCGTTGCTGCAGCCCATCATTCCCATCGCCACTCCTTGTTAAGTCGATCGACATTCTATGATTGCGCCGTGTCGTCTGATCTTTTGCAGTGACTGGAAGGTCATCACCTTGTTCGATATTAGGACTGCAACTGACTCTGGGAACGACCAATGAAGTATCTTCACACGCCACCGTCATTCTGTCCGTTGTCGCATCAAGTTCCGACATTCTGTCATAGTCGGCGGGGCTTCTTGATGTAGCTCTGTTTGACATGTTTGATACCATCAACAAGCCACGCTTCTGCCTGGACTTGATTCGTAGCTTTGCCTTGGGCTCGTCTGGGGTATCAGGTTGGACAGCAATTGTGGAAACAACATCGCACTTCGTCCACTCGCCTTCTCTGACTGCATCCTCGGTGGATCGTCGTGACGGTTTTGAATCCGTGCTGCTCTTGCCAGGGCAGAGGCCGCTGTGATGGGCCTTTTTGTTCTTGGGCTTCTGGGTTTCGCGCAGGGACGGCGCCATATTGCCTGTCATTGTCGACGCTAAGAAAGAAACCTCGTCTATAGTGAAACGATCTGGTCTTTGAGATTGGGTGCCCTTCTCCCGTGGATGCTCTGTTGATATTGGAAACTCGTCGGAGCTGCGGGGCAATTGATCAACCCGCAGTACTGGGTCTGCTTGCGACACTTCGCAGGGTTTCACGACTGCGATAGCTTTGGTCTTGCGAGTTCCGCTGGGCTGACCAAAAGCAGCCTGATGTTTTTGGAATGCCCTGGTGCTGGAGGTCTTCGAAGGCGTATGTGCATCAATCGTGAGATCCACCGCAGCAGGCAACGGTTCATGGGCAATGTTTGCTGCTCGGATGGGGCGAGCAGAACGACTTCGTTCGCTGATGGGTGTTATCAGTGGCTGGCTGCGGATGGATGCACTGGCCGACCACGATGATAGAGTCAAGGTGGTGCCGAAAAGATTCTGAGCATAGCCAGACTTGCTCGGAGGCGACACGTCCCTCTTCCTCCTCTTTGCTGGCCTCGCGTCCTCGTCCTGGGAGCTTGGAGCCTGGGCCGCTATGCGATCCTCGTAGAGAGATGTGGTAGGTATCACCGCTCTTCCTTGCAGTCCACGTGGGGTGTTGAAAACATCGGCCAAGTGGCGTTGCTTGAAGTGGGGATGCGGTTGTTGCTGTGCTTGGTGTTGTTGCCGCCGCCGCCGCCGCTGCTGCTGCTGCTGCTGCTGCTGCTGCTGCTGCTGTTGTTGTTGTTGTTGTTGTTGTTGTTGTTGTTGTTGTTGTTGTTGTTGTTGTTGTTGTTGTTGTTGTTGTTGTAGTAGGGGAAGCAGCGAAGGACGAGCAGCAGAGAGGGGTGAGCTGGCAGCAGAGAAGTGAGTATGACGCTGCTCTACGTCTCGGGCTCTCTTGTCGAGGAGGTCGGTAAGATCCTGGTCTTTGGTGCCAATGCATTCAGCGACCTGTACAATGACGGCGCCGCGTTCCAGGTTGAACTCCTCGCCCTCGCCGAATGCGAAGTCCTCGTTCCAGTGCATGTCGCCGATGAAGTTGCCCCTCTCATCATACACCATGATGCGTTTGTTAAAGGTGTGGAACTTGAGGCGACCATCTTGCCAACGCTTTTGCTTGCGCTTCAGATCATGGGTGAATAAGCAGATGAACTCGTGGACCGGAGCAGAGGCCGGTAGACCCGAGGGCTGGCTATGACGGTTGATAAGAGGCATCCTGGTCGCCATATCCGTGATTGGAACATGGTTATCTTTACGGTGAATACTGAGTGTTGGGCCGTGATGAGAAGTGACGGGGCCTAGGAAACATAGGTAGGACGCGACGCGACATGAGACGGCAAATAGGCACGCCAGGTCAGGTGACCCAGAGTGCCTACCCACCAAACTTAGGTAAACCTTACCGTAGGTACCTAGGTGTGCCTTGCGGCTGAATGTACTCTGTAAGGTGCCAGGGTAATACACACGGCACCCAGGCGCACTGAGGAACCTTAAGACGAACATGGCCGCCCCGCAAGGGCCTTCCTGTGCTCGCTACTCCATGCAGCTCTAAGGGAGAAGAGGAACCCTGAGATTTGCGATGCGCCAGAACCACAAATCTGGCTGACGGCAAACATAAAGTCCCATCTTGTTCCGGTCGCAGCGCCCTTGAAGGAGGTGGCTGGACTCATTTTATGAAAGTGTCTTGTCAGGGTGGAAATCCATCAAGCCTCAAACCGCCCAGGACCGTACTTGTGCCGGCTGCCGGGCAGGGCCTGCTAAGCACCCCCTCAGGGCAGAGGGTTGGGACGCTACGTTATTTTTGGTTGGCTTCCGCGCCTGACAAGGTTCCAAGGCTGGCTCACACCGCCGGGGGTTGCGTAAACATCCTTCCTCAGCTCCAAGTCTTGTTGGTTGATGCATCGTTATACCTGATACCTTACCTAGCAAAGTACGGATGTTCGTCTGTTGGACGTGAGGCACGCCGTGACCGTGCGATTACGCTCTAGACATCTCAACCGAGCCGCTGCTCTGCTGGGTGTCCGCTTGTCCCTGCCCTTGTCCCTGTTCCTGTGGCCTGTCCTCTCCCCATGTCCCGCCCACCTTCACCTCAGTGTCACTGTCAGGTCCGGGTAGGCATCGTATCGGCAAACTCCTCAAATATTATTCAACGTCCCCTCCTTCAAACCCCTCTACCTCACTTTATACACCGCCGCCGTCGCAACACCGCCTATGCGCGACACCCACGCGCTTCCCCGACTACAGCTGCGCCCGTGTTGTTGTTTGCTCCTGCTCCTACTCCTCCTGCCATACTGCAGGTGGTGCTGGCTTGAGAGACAAGCACCAGATCAACTCATATGTTCATTCCTACGTGTGAAATACCCCGCCTGATCACATCTACCCTCTCGCTCCCCCGAGCAAAATGCAGTCCATGCATAGACAATTCGGAAAGCTCATGAACAAGAGCCCTGGTGACAATGCCAAAATCGCCGCAATTCTTCATGACTACGAAGACGCAGACAATCTGCTGGGGAAGGTACTCTTGCCACCATGTTTTTCATTCATATTCGTCACACTGACATACAAACGCCAACTGCCTTACATAAACTTCATTGCCCTCCTTTGGCCACCCAGTCAACTAACGTCTTGTCACCGGGCTACAGATCATCGAAAATACCAAGCAGCTTCGTGACTCTTGGGTGGCTGTCGGAACTACTCAGTGGGCCATCGTCAAGGAATACGAAGGGTTGTACGATCCCATTGTCGGTGCTACCGAAGGTCATGGGCGACCTAGCATTGCTACCCCTCAACAGCAACTCGACCGAACTTTCAAGCTCCGTGAAGCTTACTCTGATCTCAAAGACGAGTTGATTGAAGAAGTCGCAGCCATCGACGCCCAAGTCATCCGTCCTGCTACCGAGGCCCGCGACTATCTGCAACCCATCCGGAAGACCATTAAGAAGCGTGAGAACAAGAGGCTTGATTATGAAAAGGCAGAGGACAAGGTGAAGAAGCTACAGAAGAAGACTGGAAGAACGCCCAAGGAGGATGCAGCGCTGTCCAAAGCAGAGTTCGACATGTCTTGTGCTTCGGAGGTGAGCTACCTCATGACCAAACTTGCACAGGCGATGTCACAACCGCTAATAATTCACTCTTGCAGGAGTTCAATGTCGCAGATACCCACCTTCGCGAAGCTCTCCCGCCCATTGTCGAAGCCACTTTCACATTGATCCCCCACCTTCTGGCATCCCATGTTTGCATACAAAACAGGCTTCTTGGCTTGTACTACACAGTACTGCACAATTACTGTGAGGACCACGATTTCCCGTCCCCACCGCCTCCAATGGAGCAGGTGGTTTCGACGTGGTCCTCTGCGTTCATGCCCATTAGGAAGGAAGTAGAATCCATAAGCTGCATAGCCCACGGCAGGGCCTGGCGTCAACCCAATCCAACATCGTCAGCTCGCAGTCCTTACTCGCGGACCCCATCAGGCATGACGTCGAGCGGCGAGGCCACCACCCCCACACCTCGAATTGTGCGAATTCCTTCCTCTAATTCGGTTGGGCGGCCTGCGCCCCCTCGCGACCCGTCTCCTCAGCCGAGTCCCCAGCCAAGGAGCACAAGTGCATCCCGTGTTCAGCTCGGCTTGCCAACTGACTTCACAACGGCCACAGCACTTGGAAGCCCTCAAGGTGCCTCTCGAGTATCACCGGCATACACGACTTCCAAATCAGAACACTTTGGTCACCAGTCAGGAATTTCGGCAGGCAATGGTAGCATCGCTGCAGGCAAGAAGAAACCACCGCCACCGCCGCCGGCTAAGCGAGTTCAGGTGCCCGATGATTTCGTAGTGGCACAGTATGATTTTGCCGGTGGTCCGGGCGACTTGAGTTTTAGGGAAGGGGATAGGATTAAGATTGTCAAGAAGACGCAGACCGATCAAGATTGGTGGATTGGGGAACTTGGGGGAATTAAGGGCAGCTTTCCTGCCAACTACTGCAAGGCGGCTTGAGGGACTATGTCTTACGTTTCATGTCAAAGCATGCCTACATGGTAGTTGAACGAAAATGCCAATAGCCATGTTTCCTCCGATATCTTGTTGTAAGAGAACTTGCGACTGCTGAGGCTACGCGATGCATGTCATCTGGACAGATCGTGCCCATTGGGTATATCTGAAATGGTCCTGGATGGCATCTACGGAACGATGTAGTAATCGCTCAACTAGCTTTCTTATTCCGGAGGGTAGACTTACCTATCATATTGGTACCTGGATTTGTATTTAGAGAACGACTACTTTTCCTTTACGGCGCTCTACTGTCATCGCCGTTCTTAGACTACTATTGTCGTTGTTATCGTCGCCGTCATTTGTGATATAAGTATATGTACAGAGGTAACGTATCAGGCACAGGAAATTTAGGACGTCTCCGTGTTTAATCAAATTGACCCCGCAACTAAGGGGATGAAGTGGTAGAGGAGCAAGCGCAAAGTCAACTCACACGTGGCTGGTGGCAAGTTGAAAACCACGCACCTTGGATTTTGTGTTGTGTCAGTATCTAAATACAATGCCCGTCTATCCTTTCTGTACAAGATAACCAACCACCAACTCCAAATGGGAATGTGCACAAAGGCACACTGCCCAAACATGATACGAATGAAGCAATATAGGCCACGCGATGAAGACCAACTTGGTCTGATGCAAAGCTGTACCTAGCAACCATGAGGGTATCATAAACCATAAAACGATCGTGTCCGGCCACGCTATTCGCCTCTGACTTTTCCACTGTTTTTTTTTTTTTTTTTCTCCCTTCTTTTCTTTTTTTGGCGACGCCATCTGCTCTTCCGGTCCGACGTGGACTTTCTGCCCTCCGATCGGCTGTTCGCCACTTAAAAAGCCTGAGGACCTGTCTCCACTGCCGGAGAAGTCGCCCCTTCCCGACGAATGCGCTCCTCTTCCGCCCGCAAGACACGGGCAATTTCATTATCGCGGCCCCGATCCAGATAACCAACATCCTCGCCCTCGAGATTCATGGGCGTGACGGGGCCGGGACTTCCAAGGGGCAGTAGTCTTGGAGAAATTGGTTTGTGAGAGCCGGTCGTTCCGATTTGGTGCAGATTTGTCAAGGGTACCCCATTCAAAGTCACAGTGGAGCTAGAGGTTACATTGCTCTGGCTTGCCGCGCCACCCAGCACTTCGCTCGCAGCCAACCTCGCTTGCGCAATCATGTCTCGTTGGTATTGCTGAAGCTTGCGACGGACCTCAGAATCTTGTCTCGAGGACCTGAAGCCCTCACGAGTCGGGATGTGGCCTTCAGATCTCGTGGATGATGCCCGAGTGGGAGGCGCAGATGGGCCTATTCTCGTCGGATCTTGGCTTCCTCGGCTCTCGTAGTTGGATGGATAATACTTGCCCATTGGCAGTGGAGTATCGTGTATGCCGCTGGGTAGATACGAGGCGACGGGAGTGTTGGAACGTGACGGATCGGATTCAAGAGCCATCGAGGGCGATAGATGGGATGATGGCGCCATGAGTATGGGCAAAGGCGTGCCGTGAGGCTCGACGTGTGAGGAGGAATCGCGTGTCAGGCAGACAGAGCGGTGTCGGAGCGGACCGCCGTCGGCATGAAAAGGATGAGTACGATGGATTCGGGCTTTCGGATCTTCGTGCAGCGGAAAGTAGCCACTACGAACAAGCAATCAGTTGTTTTGGTCCTCATTTACACCCGTTCGATGGCCGGATTTCAGAATGGACAAGGCGGTGTATGCACATACCCATAAACGTCTCCGCGGGCAGACAAAGGTTCAGGCGGTGTGTGCGTAGGTGCTGAATTGATCTTCCGAGGGGAGTGCGGCAGCTCAATACCAATTGGGCGGCTGCTGGTATGTCTGATGGCTTGAAGGGATGTAAGATCAAGTTGGGAAGGCGCGGATCTTTCGCCTATTAAGTAATCGACAAGTTAGTCCTCGGCGGGGCAGGGAAACGTGGGATATTGGATCGAACGGGGGCGAGAGGGAAAAAGAAAAAATTTAAATAAAATTGAGAAAAAGAGGAAAGCATAATACTGCGTGAAGGGCAAAAAAACATGACGCAACGTTGAAGGGTCCCCATAAGCCATGCGAGACAGACGAGAAGGATGTAGAAAAGGGCTTAGGCCCGGGGATGACCCGTCCGTAGCGCAGAATGACTGCGAATGATGACGATGGGTGCAGGGTCCAGCCATGGAATTTGCAATGGCCAAAAATATGTACCGCATGTGTGGAAGTTGCACTTGGCACAGGGCCTGTGAGGGGTCGCATGCCGGCCCAAGCAGCGCGAGAGCCCCCCTCCGCGAGCGTTATAGAATAACGCAGCCAACCCAGCGCAGCACCCTCAGCCCTCAGCCATTGGCCTCTGCACGCAATGCCATTATACACCAGGCGGCGGTGCCCTGAAGTAAATGAAGCGCTCTTGTTAGAAGGCCCAGTTGTCATTGCCCCCAAGGAGCTCGCACTCTGCGATACCCCGGACGCTCAGGTTGTAACTTGATCGTGCCTTGACAAAGGCACTAGACACGATTTTTTCCCAAAAGGCCCACGCGGCGAGTAACGCAACGAGCGGGTATCGGCCAGCTGGATTGGTCTGACGGGACGGCGTCCATCAAGTAAGCGCTACCACCCTGAGGTGCTCTGCCGTGTCCACGGTGCCACAGTATCACGTTGCTCGGACTGATGAATACCTTACCTTAAGTAAGGTAGGCAATGTAGGTGGTCACCAGTCACAACCCGCCAACCACTGACAACTGCTTGACTGGTGTTCGGAGTCAACCCCGCGCTGGACCGCGACTGGCGGCTGACTTGCGCCAGCTCCCAAGATACCGTGCAACACTTGTAGGACGGGAAAAGGAGGCACAACGGTATTGGGGTAATGCGAGCTAGCAAGGAGACTTTGGAGGATGGAATTAAGGGTAAAGGGTTATGTATCTGAGGTGGCGACAAACTACCATAGAGCGCGCGCTCAAGGTAAGGTAAGGTAAGGTAAGGTACCCTGCACTGCGATTCCCAATGCCCTCCGAGGGCCTGCGTCCCAGCCGCCGGACCCGTGCACGAGCTGACTTGGTGGCGTCCCGTCGAGGAGGGGCTTCCAACCCCCGCGCGGGTGGTTTGCAATGACCAACGGCCAGCCCCGCCAGTCAGTGCATCGGCCCCGAAATAGTTCGATTGGGATTAGAAACAGAATGAACATGATACAGACTAGAAGATGGCATATGGGAGCGTTGTGACCAAGGTCAACCTGGGGACATGACAGGCGGGGCTGCAAAGACGAGGGGAACGGTGTGCCGGAGAAGTCGAACATAGATGGATCAATAATTTGAGCCCAAGAATAGCAAATAAATGGTGGAAATCAAGTGGGAGAATGTAGACGAAACAAAACGCTGCGACTTGCCTCTCGAGGAGCGTACTTCTGGCGCCGACGTCAACTTGAGACTATCAAATCCCGTCTTCTCTTGCGCCGGCGTGTTGAGTCCAGGCATCAGCAGGTCGCAGTGGTCGTCAGATCGAGAGCTGGCAGAGGCCACCGACACGTCTGAAGAATTGGACAAGGTCCGTCCAGGCATTGCTGGCCGTCTCGTCCGTGAGAAATAGGCTGGCGGCTTGAATGAACGGCCCAGGTTCGCCATTGTTGATGCTTGTCCCCGTCCGTCCTGCTCCTCCCTCTCGGAACCTGATCGTGGACCTTCTTCAAACGGCTTGCCCATGCCCCTCAGGAAAGGCACGAAGGCGTACTAGATGCTTGTCCACGACGGCCGACGCTGTATTTTAACGTTCCTGTCGGGCTGCCAGGTTCGATCGCGGTCGAAGAAGATGCGTTTGAAAATCGGATTGGCAAACGGGGCCGACTCGTCGCCGTTATCGAGGATGCTGTGCTCTTATCACGATGTCCTTGGAGAAATTGGAGTGAGACCAGGAAGGGCAAAATATGGGCGGGCGAGGTAGGGAGGTAGTGTAAATGGCTTATGTGGATATGTGGATGTTGGCAGCGTCGACTTGGGCGTTGCGGCAAATGGGTCCCAGTCATCCTTTCACCCTGTCGTCCGGTGGTCCTTCTGGCGGTCGATCTTGCATGCGTGGAGAAGTTGGAATTAATGCCAAGTCGCCTGTAGCGCAAGCGCTTTGGTCTGGTCTGGTCTGTCTGGTCTTGGAGTCGGAGCCGAGATGCCGGGAGGATTGGATATTGATTTTTCGCCTGGAAATATGCGTAGGATGGAATTTGAAGAGCAAGGACGTGGTGGTGATGTCCTCCACTGCCATTTGCACTGTTCCTGGCCTCTTTTCACTTTGGACCAGAGCCAGAGCATCAGGACTTGAGAGATGGCACTGAATGCTGGCTCTATCGAATCCATTCTGACAACAGCCTCTGCAGCCTTCTTCTTTTCCTCCCTGAAGTCGATACTGCCTCAACAAACACTAGAGTGGCGGCACATAACCTGGTTGCCTCCATTATTAGGCACTTTCCATGGTATCTACCTCCAACCCTCCCTACCACAACGTACTTATGCGGCGGTGTGGGTGGTGATCCGATACATCAAAGTCATGGAAAAGAAGGGGTCCACCTCAGGGTCCTTGTCGGTGGCTTGCTTCACTGACTACTTGCTGCATTGGGGAAAACAAGGTGCCCGATTTTCCAAAAGAGAGGAGCTAGGTACTTGCTGCGTACTTCTTGATTGGGCTGCGACATTGTCGTCCAAGATGATTGGGTACCTATCTGTGAGAAGGAGTCTTGCGAAGTATCGGTGAAGCTGGCCTAGCTGACATTTGATCGCACTCGGCATCACCTCATCCGTTCACAGCAGCGCACCCACGTTCCCATCCATTTCATCCTGGTGTCTGGTCTGGAAATGCCGCTGTCGATCTCTGGCGTTGATCGTCACTGAGCGTGCAAGCGGCGTGGCGGCCAAGCCTGCCTGAGTATGGACAGCAACAAAACCATGCTGGAGCTCTATAGGCAGTACTATCGTAGCGCCATGATTGGAGGCCTGCGCTCTTTCCAGCCACAGGATGTCTGCCCCGAAAGGTCACCCAGCGACTGAGGTTCTCCCCCGTGTATACCCCGCACGTAACCTCCCATGTCCCGTAATCATACCTTGTTGTACGCAAAAGAGTACTCAAAGTGTGAGCCTGGCCTACGGCCACCCCTATTACATAAGTATATATATGCATAGCTGCATTAACCCCATCAGGTCCCATACTAATAATCTATCCCTCTATACTATATCTATAGTATTATACTTTATAGTAGTAGTACAAAATAGTATATCTATAGTTGCAAATTAAGTATGAATTTCTTCTCTTACTATATTAGTGAGAAAGAACTAGATATGAATATTATTAAATTGTAGAATTAGCTATATTAAAAGTTTTATTTTAATTAATTAAACGTTATCAAGAGAGCTTATTACTAACTATAGTTTGTTATTTAATACTAACTTAAATATAATAATTATCTTACTTTAATTATAACTTAATAACCTCTCTTAACCTCTTAACTATATATTTTTACTTTTCTATTGTTGTTATCTCTTATACCTCTAGATTTTAAAATCTATTTATTAGCATAAGTATAAGCGTATTTAAAGGCGTAGTATATACGCCTATATAGTATAGGGTTATAGATAGGCTTATATTATAATAAACGGTGATAATCTTAAGTATTTATAAATATTTAATTATATAGATAATAAGAAGGGAAGTAATATATTATAACAATTCTTATTATTATAATTAGCAAGTTATATCCTTTAGCAGAGCATGAATAAGTACTGTATAGTAATACTATAACTACGTAGTATATTATATACTATATATAGTGTAGTGTAGTTATGGTATTAAAATTATTTTTGTAGTATATTATAACCCCACTTTCTATAGTATATAGTATACTCTAGCCCCATTTTTAAATCTGTAGTAATGTAGTATAATACTATATACTACACTTAAAAAACTAGTTATTTAATTCTAATTAAATAATTATTAATAATTTAATAATGGTTTTAAGTTATATAGTTATTTAACTGATAATTATTATTAATAATATTAGTTATAATATAATTAATTATAGTATATTATTATTAATAATTAATATATATATAATATTATATTATTAATTAACTAGTAAATATATCTTAATAGTTTTTTTAATATTAAATTAAATATAAGCTGTAATAATTAGTTATTAAAAACCTATTAATATTAATATTAATATATAATATTATAGCTAAAATATAGTATAATTTATAGTAAGTAGTATATTGTATATTATTACTATAGTAATATATAGTGTAGTAGTAATACTGAATGTTTTGATGTAGTATACTATATATTATAACTATATATAGTATATAGTACTATAGTACTATAGTAAGCAATACTCTATCCTTTAGTAAAGAAAAATCAAGAGAAAGATAACCTTAAATATAACTTACTAAACTATTAATTATATAAAGTACTTATATAACTAATATTATAGTTATAAGTTATAATAAACACAGTATTTTTACATAAAGTTCTATAGTTTAAACTTTATTAGTTTATTTTATATAGAATATTAAAATAAGTTAAGCGTTATTATTACTTTTATATTATAATTATTATTATAAGAGAATGTTATATATTAATAGATATACTTAGTAGATTTCATATTAATAATATTATTATACTTAATACGCTTAGCGCTTTAGATATCTTTCTAAATAATCGCCTAATTGATATTATTTTTACAGCTAAAGCTAATTAATAACTATTTATCTATAATTTAATCTATATAGATTTAATCTAACTTCTACTTATTAATAAATTTAACTACTTACTTTTAGAGCTAATTAAGGTTACTAATATTCTATTAAAATTAGATCTAATTATATAACTAGCTTTTGTTATAGTAGAAATCTTATTAGACTTTAAGATTAAGATTTAATCTAGCTATGAAACTAATTTAGTTTAATAGAAGATTTTTAAAGAAATCTATTAGAATATAAAACTTAATACTAATAACTATACTAAGTTACTATTTAAGATTAAACGTAGTTTTCTCTAGAAAATAAACTTTAATTATATCTTATATCTCTATATCCTTTAATTCTATTTTAGTAATATTTTTAATTTAATTTATAATAGTAATTATTTTAGTTACAATAAGCTATTAGAATTTATATCTTAATACTATATCTTTAATAGTTTCAAAGAACTATAGAAATATCGACTTAGATACTTATAATATTAAATCTTTTAGATCTAATACTATAAAGCTTATAGTAACTTATAACTTATTTTACTACTATTTTACTCTTACTATATAATTTTAATTAATTTTATATTAATATTACTACTATTTCAAGAAAGTTTAAATATAGCTTTAGTTATAATTTATAAAATATCTTTATTATACTACGTAAAATTATAGATATCATAAAGATATAAAGTATTTAACTTAGATACTAATTAATATTTTCTAATTAGAGTTTTCTTAAGATTATTATCTCTAATTAAGATTTAAAGTTTCTATTTATAATATAGAAATTAATTTAGTATAAAACTAGTATAACTTTATTTTATATAACTACTTATTACTTATAAATAGATAGCTAGATAGAATATATAATCTAAACTATTAAATTTACGTTTTAATATTATCTCTATTTACTTTTAAGTTTTAAGTTATAGCTTATTTATTTAGATTAATTATAGTTTAAATTTAATTGTATAAGATCTATATTAACTTAGTTACTATTTAATAGGATTATTAAAAGCTTTACATTTAATAATATCTTACTATTAATATCCTATAATTTATAACTATATATTATTTAATTTCTACTCACTAAGATCTCTATTTATAACGTTATTTCAATCTTTATATTTATAATAAAATATTATTATAATTATTAATATACTATTAGATTATTTATTACCTTAATTATAATGTAGAGAGGGTTCTTTTTAGAGGCATTCTCAAGAGCTCTATCTAATATTACTATAATAAAGCGCTCCTAATTAGAGTAAAATGCTTACTAAAGCTAAAAGCTTTACTTAATATATAGATATTATACTATGTAGTAAGTAATCCTAGCTATCTTTTTTAAAAAAGTATATTTAATATAATATTAGTATTCTTATATTCTTTATATAGTATAAATATTATAAAGATACTTTAGGATTTAGAATGGGTTATAAGGATAAGTTATTAATATAGGTTTAAAAGTAAAGAAAAGGAAAAGAGAAAAGTATAAAGCCTTATATATAGTAGAGTATTTATACTTCTAGTTATAAAAACCACTTCTAATAACCTCTTTAGTTAAAAAGTTATCTCTTATATAATAATATTATTATAAAAGCTTTAGTAACCTATTTAGCTTAAATATAATTAGCTTTACTATATATAGCGCTACTATTACTAGCCTCACACTATATAGCTAGCACTATTACTATTCTATTTATCTATTTAGTTAGAGCGCGTGTTTAACTTTATATAAAGGTTTCTTTACTAAGAGAAATATATAGGGTTTCTATACTATTTTCTTTAATTAGTAGAGAGTATAAGTTAAAGTACCTATATAGTATTTCTAGAATTATACCTATATATAAGGTGAATTTTAGTATAGTCTTTTTATAGAAAGGCTGCGTTATAACTATAAACTTAATATTATTAGATTTTTTAATCTCTATAATAAAGTTTATTTACAACTATATAAGAGATATAATATCCCTAAAGTAGTAATTTTAGGATTAAAATATAGATAATATTATATAAGCCTTTTTATTATTATAGAACGTATTGATTATACTATTTATAAATTTTAATTTCTATTTTATTTTAAAATCTATAATATTATCTCTATTAACTATTTAGAACTAATAACTTATTTAGATCCTTAAAGTTACTAGTTACTACTAATCCTATTAATTCTAGCTAAAGACAAATCCCTTATTATTAATAAGATTCTCTAGGAATATAATCTAATATCTAATAAGTAGTATTTTATTTTATATAAGTATTTTAGTTTAGATTATTATTAATACATCTATTAATTTAATTTCACTAAACGTTCTATTTATAATCATTTAGTTTTAGTTTAGAACTAAAACTATTAAACTTATTACTACTAAAAAATAAGATTAGCATAGAGAATTAATAAATTATAATTACTATAAAATAGTAATAATTACAAGATTATAAAAATTATAGATTAAAAGTAATTAAAAAAGAGAGATAGGATTTAGATATCTAAAAATAGCTTTAAATAGGTTTAGTAGGAATATAGATTAATACTAATAAAGGTATTAATACTTTTAAAGAGAGGTATATTACAAGCTTAATTTATAGCTAACCCCATTACATAAGTATATATATATATATAGCTATATCGACCTTATTAGGTCCTATACTAGCAATCCATCCTTCTATAACCACACCTATAGTACTATACCTCACACAAAGCCTTCTGACCCTTTGAGAGATGAAACATCTGCAGTTCTCCCAAGGCCCGTTAATGGTAGCCGCCGGAGCCGCTGATTCTGCTGCTTTGCGCAGGGTACTGCAAGTGAGAGGGCCCTTAACCACCAAATACTTATGGCTGGCCATACAAGGGTTTGCATCCCGGGACCGGAGTTCTTATGACCGGCCACACTATAGCACAGTAGCAGTTTTCTCTTTCACTCCCGAGGCGCACCTCAATCTCTGTGTCTTCCGAGGTACCCTTTGACTGCTTCACGTTTTCTCGGCCCAAGCCGGTGGACGTTCATGTGGGGCTTCAATTAACTGAATGGCTAGTGGATAGATAGCAACACCACCACTGAAGTGTACCGAGGAGGTCGTTGAGTGGAATGGTGCGGGTCCAGGAAGTACACTACTTAAGGTCAGTCAAGTAGTTAAGACATCTTACCTTACAACGAAGGAAGGACCCTTTATCCGTACTTTCGCATCACTAGAGCTTGGCTCCTTTATAAATTGTGGCCAGCCAACCCACTCGTACATCCAAGCTTCGGTGCGCATTGGAGGCCGGAACAAGATGCGGAGCGCTGATCTCTTGGCCGATCGCTACCAAGTTCAACAGGTTGGGTAAGAGTCGGAATCCCTTGCTTGTTCTTCCCCCATCAGCGGGAGGGGTTTTGGGGTTGAGGGGGCAGAATACGTGGGCGTATTACGGATAGTCACAACGCCCATCTCCTCCAAGGCTGCTAATGCAGCATGCGGCTGGTGGGGTTAGAGGTTCGTATCCTGAGGTAGGTACGGTACCTCAGCCAAGAAGTCAGTATTACTATTCTGTGCTATGCTGCTGGTTTTTGTCGGCTAAGTCAAGCAGCACGGAACCTGGCTGCGACTCTTACTAGCACAGCAAAGCTCTGCCGACTTGAAACATGCACACGGTGACTTCGGACTGCGAGCCTTGTCCGCCAGGTTCGCACGTTCGGAGCATATTGGGGTCCATGTGTGGCGCTCACGTCCAGCTCTTCTACTTTCCTGTGCCTACAAATGGAGATTGCCGTGCTGTAATTGCCGATTGTAGACGTTGACGATAGCTTCAATTGCATTTTCCTGAACCGCGCCATGCTTGCTATTGCTAATCTTTCACCTCAGGGCGTCAATGAGCGTCGTGTGCTAAGTATTCGTGCGCTCAAATGTTGACCACGGCTTTGCGGCCATTACGTCACTCGAGTGGCATGGGGTTGCCCTGCTCGAAGCGGAGTTGTGGGGCTTTCATGCAGTCGAGAGGACAGAACGGGGATAACGACCAGCGACACCACTAGGTTGGCAGCCCCCTGATAGAAAGTTGCAGGTCGCCAGTGACCAATGCGGCATGTGGGCAGAACTCATCGACCTCACTACGGCGTGCTAGGGGACGTTCCCCGGAGAGCCAGGAGGAACACCTCCGGGCGGGCATGACGTACCTACTCCGGACCAGATCAGTGTCAATGAATTTGCCTGATGATATCGAACGAGTCTCGTTGCCGACGATGAGACGCAATAAGCATGCGACTTCACACTAGCATCAGTGCGATTCCTCGATGTACTGCATACTATGCATCGGTGTTCGTTGTCACGCCTAATCTTCGTCCATGGCTCCGGGGTTCTCTGGACCCCTCCAGAGCTGCGCGGTGAACATTCGGCGACGGGTCCAACACGTATCGCTATCATTCCGTTTCTGCGGATCTTCAGATCACCCTCTGCTTTTCCGCACCTGCACTACGTTGACTTCGTCCTCGTTTACATGCCTGAGTGTTTCTGTCACGAGCATCGAGCGCGTTCGATGGAACTTAGACTCCTTACTAGAAGCTGATAGAAACCCGTTCGCCATCAATGTGGCAACGCCCGGGCTGGTTATTTATCTAAGCCTGCTGAGCCTCATTGAGGCTCTGGTATCGTATCTGCAAAAAAAACAACTCCAAACGCCAGCATTTGCAGCTGCTATTGTGATTGGACAAAGGCTGATGGAGGGAGGACTGAAAAAAAAACATCAGCACAACCGTCCGTCCAAGTACGGACATTCACAAGATGCGCCAATTGGAAATGCTCGCACGGGAGGTTTCCCTGCGCGGCCTCTAGACTTTGCCACGGCCAGTGAAGCGCGTACGACGTTCCCGATGACTCCACCAGTAGGCAGCGGAAGCGAGGGTACTGATGAGCCAGAGCAGTGCGTTGGCTAAGTCAACCCATACTGCATTCTTCATCCGCTGAATATCTTTATCGCCCTCGGCATTTTCCTTGATATACATCTATCGATCGAGGTAAGTATACACGAAACAAGAGCAGACAGAGGCAATGTCTGGCAGTTTAGCTAGTCAGGCAACGTACATTACCAAAGAGTCCAAAGAGAGCAATCCAAAGGACGAAAAGAATGAAGTCCCAGACGAAGGTGGCGGCAAATCGTAGGATGAAGGGGACGCAGTAAAGAAGGGCCGTCACGGCGGAGAGGCCACCGACCACTTCAGCGAAAACCTATCGGGCGTGTGTGAGCATTCATCCGTTCCTCCCCCAGAGATGCTAGGAAATTCGTACCCATTTAGAGTCGACATATACCCCCTCGTTTCTGGCGCGCTGCAGATCGACGGCGTACAGACCACAGACGGTGATGGCCAGGACGAATTGGAAGAAGTGCAGGACGGTGAAGGCGAGATAGCTCGCGGCCATGCCAAAAAGGCCCATTTTGAATGCTGGTGGAGGATTCGGGGCAGGTCGCCGATTACGGAACGGGGTTTGGAGGTTCAACGGATGCTTGACGGAGTTTCGACGGAGGCGGCGCTAAAAGCGTATGACTGCTGGCGATTCAACGGTGGCTGGGGATGACGATGAAGGAGGAGAATTGCGGAAGTGGACAAAGGGGACTGGCTGGGTTAGGGAGGGCTTTTAGGGCAATGCAGAGGGTGTCTTGTCTTGCAGGCGCTAAGGGGAGGTCGCGAACGGGTCGTGACCTCTCCAAGGCGATGCCAGGTTACCTCATGTGAGGAGTTATCGTGCCATTCAACGCTAGCCAACACCAAACAGGTTGATCGGCATCTTGATGTCGTCCTTGCTTTGACGCCCTGAGTGTCGGTGCCCAGTGCCCTGACATTTCGAAGGTCTCAGGCCCAGACCTAGGCCTGGGTTGGTTGGTGACTTCAAGGTAAGCAATTTTGGATGGCGCCTCTCAAATGGTCCCCTATGACGCACTTGGCGTGCCCCTTGTGCATTGTGAGCCAATGGAAGACGCAAGAGCAGCACACGCAGATGACAGGGGGACTGTCATCTGTTGGCCCAAGCTCAAGCTTTCAGGTCACATAGTACTATGCTAGGTTGCTGGATGGCACATGGCACTCGGGTATCAGAATAATCGACCGCTTTCTGGACCACCCCTCGCTTCAACCCTTAGGCCTCCCCTCAGATAAAACAGAAAAATAATAAAAGAATATTCAGAAAACAACTTACTCTCTAAAGATTAATTTAATACCAATAATTATCGTAGTTAGAAGGTGGGCTACGCTGGTGTACTAGGCGCAAAAAGGTACGCTCAAAAACCGGTCGTTTTTTCTAATACCCGAGTGGCATGGGCAGATGGCAGAAGCTCATCCGGCTCCGTCAGTTCAAAGTCTCTCTAACCTAGGTAACTCAGGAACCGACTTGAGTGAGTGATTCGCTCTCTGCCACCTAGTACAGCACCGTAAGCCGGGCAAGTAGCACGTAGACCTGGCCACGATGCAGAACACCTGGGAAAGCACTCCTTGTGGCAGTAAATCATTGGACGCACTATTATCTAACCCTCGTCAAGCCATGGAGATGCGGTCGAGCCTCCAGTGACAACACAACAGCCGCCCGGTATTCAAGACTCGCAGGCAGGGTCGGATCCCAGGGTCCTGCCGAGCTTCGGAAGGTCTGTCGAAGAAAATACCAACAGGGCTTCGGATGCCCGCGCGCGACACCCCCGGCCCCCCCTTCCAGCGCTGGGGAATCCGACGCACATACACCTACACACTGGACCTCGGGACATATGGGCCTGACCGGTGAGCGCTCCAACGCTCGGCCCGGTCCGGAGCCTCTTTCCGTCGTCCATGTCATCTCTCCAGCTCAGCGGTGCTGCCATCGCCATGTTGACACTTCTGTCACACTAGTGGCTTTGTATCACATCAACGACCTGTCACCGCCTAGCAGATATCTTGCCTATGTCGCACAATGTCTGACGGGGCCACATCCGACTTCCAAGCGGCTGAGTTGCCCAAGCCGCCCTTTATACCCGTTCCTGGTCTCCCAAACTTTCGCGATGCTGGCGGCTACCCGATTGACTCTCAGCCGGGCCGCATCCTGAGACCGGGCATTGTCTTCCGCTCCGCAGAGCCTTCGCGCCTAACGGACCAAGGCGTCGCCCTTCTCCAGGACATCGGTATCACCCACGTCTATGACTTGCGTTCCGCCGTCGAGCTCAAGCGCCTCGCGCAAGCAGGCGCCAATTGCGACGTCCGCGAATGGCCGGGCGCCACCCGTGTTTTCGTCCCCGTCTTCCAGGACCAGGACTACGGCCCCGAGGCCATCGCCCTCCGCTACCAGAACTATTCCAGTAACGGCACCGAGGTGAGTAAAGAGTCCCAAGTCTACGTCTGGAAGGCCGTCGGACCCCCCACCACCCGCTCGACTTCTTCCCTGGCCATCTTCACCTCGTCGAAGTTGATAACCTAAAACGTGGCCACAGGGCTTCACCAAAGCCTACGCCGACATTCTGCGCGCTGCTTCAGGGCCGGATCATCCTCAAGACCCCTTTCGGACTATTCTGTCTCACCTCGCCACCCCGGAGATTCCGACGCCGTTGCTTATCCATTGCACGGCTGGGAAGGATAGAACGGGCGTTATCTGCGCACTCATTCTCAGCCTCTGCGGCGTCTCAGACGATGTTGTGGCCCACGAGTACAGCCTGACCGACATTGGATTGCAGGACCGTAAAGAAGAACTGGTCAACCACTTGCTGACCACGGAGGCCATGAAGGGAAATCCCGAAGGCGCCCGCCGCATGATCGGGTCCCGGTATGCGATAGATCATTTGTTACCCCAGCTGTGCCAAACCGCCACTGATACTTCTGAAAACCCTCAGCAAGGAAAACATGCTTTCCACTCTCAAACTGATTCGCCATGAGTACGGGTCGGTCGAGTCATTTGTGCAGACAAGATGTCGCCTCTCGTCAAAGGCTATAGAGCAGATTCGCAAGAACCTCATCGTGGATGTTGCAGATGGTCACCGTGTTGTAGACTGGGTTTCGCACACCAAGTACTTGCTTTGATGAATATGATAGTCTTTTTTGGGCTTGAGAACTCCTTCGAGTTGCCCGTTCGCTGAATCAACGTCATACAGTTACATGTATACATACAGTAGGTAGTTACAGCCGTCGGTACTCTGTCAGACCGACGCCAATGTTGGAAATGGCACTAACCAGGCCTTTGTGGCTCCCTCGTTCTTGTAGCGAATAGCCATTCGCCAGCACGTCGTGCCTTGGTATCGGAGACTACTCAGATCATATTGAAATTGAGTGTTCATGGTACCGATGTGGGGAGCTTAAACTCTCCCTTCTTGCGGTCATAGAAAGGCACACCATATCTCCAGCCCACAGCCTTGCGGCCACGGCCGTCCTTGCCAGCGGCTTCGACGTTCATCTCCTTGAATCTGAACTCAAAGCGACCAGTGTCCACGCGTGTCGTTTCTTCCTCCGCCTTTTCCAGACGCCGCCTCTCCTTCTCAATGAGCCTGTCTTCTTCAGCTCGAGTTGTCTCCTGAAACTTCTCGAACGCCTCAGCTGGCTTCACGCCGCTGTCTATTGATTTCCTCATTGTCACAAGCTCCTTTAAAGGTGATCGCTGGTCGGCGGATAACATGTTCCTGTGGAATGCCTTGGCCGCGTCCTCTCTGTTGAATTGACGTGACTCGGACACGGGGACGAATAGTTGCTGCATCGTGAGCTTGTGTACGTGAATCTCATTGATTGGTTCATGGGGAATTTGAGCCTCCTTCCTCAAGATGGTCTGGGGAAGCATGCCCAGAACCGCTTTAGCATAGGGTGTAGCTAGCTGCTTCTTCTATTGTTTGATTGTTGTCAGCAGGTTGTCTGCGCAGATTCCAGAAATGTTGCGAAGTGAGATAGTGTAGCTAATCAGAGAGGCTCGCAGTGCCAAAGGTGTAACCATGTAGTGCGTCTTCAAGACTAATCGAATTTGGAAAGTTGATCATCATAGAATGCTTGTTGATCCCGGGGGAACTGGGTAAAGACCAAAAAAAAAAAAAAAAGCCCAGCTTACCTCGGCAACCCATTGCTTCTCCATCTCCTTCATGCGCACCACCGCAGCAACTCGGCGAACATCGACACCCAGAGAAGATGATACCGTCTTGAGCGAGTGTTTGCTCGTCTTGACTCGATGGTAAATCTCTTCCCTGAGTTCCTCGCTCAACACAGACTGGCTTCTGAAAAGAGGGTTCAGAGGAAAAGGCTGGTCTGGCAGCGATCCCACGTATTTCGGACCATTCTGAGGAGCGTCGCGAAACAGCATGCCGCCTTTAGGATCCTTCAGCCATCGGTAGAGACTGTGCTGCGCCTTTGACCTTCTGAGCTGCTGCGACGTTGTGGAAAACTGACAAGAGACTTGCGCAGCAGGACATGATCGTGACGCTCTGCTCAGTTGAGCATCGCACCACTTGGCGCCAACGGTCAGTGGCGACAATGACGAGCCGGTTCGTGGAGGCATTGTGATCAAAGTCGTCTGGCCGCAGATGCGCACCTAGATTCGCCAATTATGGTGAGATCATTGGAGTGCAGACGGTGTCGAGACATGAGAATTGTGATGGGAGAAAGGAAAAGTCGGTTCGTGCCCAAATTTTCCCTCGTTTTCTTCGGAGCTGGGGCACGGACCAGGCCTGGGGGAAAAGCTTTGTTGCCTTAGTCATCCAGCTAATGCCCGCCCCCTCTCCCCTTAGTCAGCTGGCCATTTCCGTTCGAATGAGTGCAGAGGAACGCCATAGACCGATCGTAAACTGCGTGCCTTCAACTCTTCCGATGCTTTTGATCATATTCCAATATACAGAGTGCTTCGTTTGTTTCCTTATTATCATTATTTCCTGAGTGCTTGCACCACCCGGTCTCACCCTGTAAATAATTCCCGCGTATTCCCTTATTCCGTCACCCCTCATCAAGGGGATGGCCTGCGGATCTGTCGTGTAGCCCTCATATTTAGCTGCGTAGACGTTAAGCCCAACCCATGCGCCATGGAAACGCTACGAGCGGTGTGTTCCTTCTGTTGGTTCCCTTGGAATTGTGTCTTTACTTCCAATACCATCTGGCCCCAGTCCAAGATTCTGTTGGCTACTTCGGTAGTACGCTGCGGAACTCTTGCTGGATATCTGTGCCACACGAAACCTAAAAAGCCATTATGCTGGAACTGATGTCATCGAGAGCCGATTCTTTTTTGCCTTCGTTTTCAAGACGGCAGATTTCTTGGCCGCTTCAGTGTCGTCATTTTGTTGACTGAAGTCTTTCCACCTTCTCCAGCCATCAAAATCGATCAAAGCCTGCATGCAACCCCACTCCATGACTTTCCTCTCGAGCCAAACAAAGTTGACTGGCTGAGTAAAGTATCAGCATTAGCTTGAAACGAGTGCGAAAACCAAATGGCGAATGCATACCTTGGTAAGAAAATCGTTGCAACCAGCAGCCAGCGCCTCATGTCTGTCGCTTTGAAGGGAACTGGCAGTTAGGGCAACGATGATGACCGGGCTCTTGAAGAGCTCCATGTTCGTCAAACGATCCTTCTCTTCCAGCTCTCCATTCGTCAATTCCGGTACACTGGAAGCAGAGGAGGAGAAGACGCCAATGGAATTGACTCGTTCTAGCCTCCGAATTTCTCTGGTAGCATCCAACCCACTCATTATGGGAAGCTGAATATCCATCAAGACGAGATGAAAACCGCCAGTTCTCCACATGGAGACGGCGTCCCGGCCATTGACGGCCGTCTTCCACCTCACCTTCAGACGCTTGACGAACGCTTCAAGCAGTTTGAGGTTGATTGGATTGTCTTCAACAATTAGAACGTTAATAGGCGGCACCCCGCCGTTCAGTATGCCGGCTGGCAGAGTTGGATGATCCATGTTCTTCTTCGTCTTCTTCGGCCGAGAACTTGCCGGACGAGGCGACGCTGTTCTTGGCGGAGGAGTTGCCACTCTCTGCACCTGCTGAACTTCTGGAGCAGGTGGTGTTGGAAGTGGCGGTGCCACCGGTGCTGTAGCCGAATGCTCCGATGCGTTCGAGTGCGTCCTTGAAGGCGGCAATCTTGGGTGAAATGCGTGTGAGGCGTGGTTCGCCGCAGTAGCGGCAGCAGTCATGGATTGGGCATTAGCGACGTTTAGTATGGTCGGAGAGGACGTATGGGTTCTCCCCAATCGCGGGCGTTCGGGTCTTTCTCTGTATGCGCGAGAACGTGTGCCTCCTGGAGAAGGGATAGGTGGTATTTGGCCAGTGCCGAGCACGGCAATAGAATGTGCGTGGGGTAGGTGTGGGTGTACGGGATGGGCGGGATGGAGAGGATGTGCCGGGACGGTGGTGGCAGGAGCAACGACCGGAACGGGTAAATTGGGTGACGGAAGCGCGCCTACAGGAGGAAAATAACCCTCGCCAGCCTCAGATGGCCTACCCTCATCGGCGTAATAGACAGCGGTGGCATGGGTTGGGGCCCGAGGAGAAGGCCTCGGTGTACGTCTGCTGGGTATGTCGATGACCAGAGCCTCGTCGACCGTTTGACCGCCGGGAAAATACGCATCGAGGGTACGACCCATGGGTTCTTCGGGGCCTAGTAGGCGGTCCTGCCTCTGCTCCCGTGGGCAGATGCGCAATGTGAGGTCGGGAGAGTCGAAGTGTCTGCCCAGAGAGTTGGCGTATTTTCTCAAAATCATATCGCGCACGTCGTCGACCAAATCATCCTCATTGATGGTAATGAGAGTAGGAGAGGCACCAGGGCGCCTCACCCAAACCTTTCGGGTGACCATGTTTCCGTTGATAGGAAGCAACGCTTCGACTGCGGAGGGATCGACTTCGTGGTTCGTCTGCGCGGCGTCGAGCAAGGTGCGGATTAGAGCAGTCTGGCGATTGGGCAGGAGGCTCTGGCGGCGAGGAGGACCGTCTGGCCTGGGCGACGATGGTGAAGTCGGTAGGACGGCGGCAACAAGTGGCGTCGAGGTGCCGATGGCATAGCTGAGGGGGCCAAGACGGTCGATGTTGTGGTGAAGGGCAGGGTCAGCCTCGACGACTACAGTTGGAGGGGGTGGGGATTGCGGCAGCAGGGGAAATGGCTTTTGGTCTTGCTTATGTTCGTCGACGGCGTGAGGTTCCGACAAGGCAGCGGCAGGCAAGGCCTGATTCTCATTAATGCTTGGGAGATTAATGGTGTTGGCAGCGGTGGTCACGGTAGTGTTCGTTGATGGGCGCAGATCGTTTCCTGTCGGTCCAAGGTCGCCGCTAGCTGAACGTCGGTCAAAAGCGGCAGCGGCAGCAGCAGGTGCAGGTGCAGGTAACACCAGCGCGGCCGAGTCAGCGTTGGTGTGTGGCTTGTGGGCACCCATACCCGAGTTGTCTCCAGTTTCTTTGGGCCGCTGCTCGTCCGTACTGTCAGCGGAACCCTCCGTCACCAAAGATGGGCTGCTCTCAGGCGCATGAACGCTCTCGTCCTGGCCGAGGTGATGGACATGATGTAGGTGTTCAGTTTCTTGTTGCTGCGAAGGCGATGGTTGTGGTGGCGGCTGCTCATGGCCGTCTTTATCATGTGGTTCATGGGCAGTGGTAAGCGTAATTGCCGCCTTCAATCTCTGCAGCAGCGGGTGGTCTGCGCCAGGTTCAGGGCTGCCAGGACATGGAGTGTGCGGCTGGGACTGAGACTGGGGCTGGTGATGGGGCTGGTGCAGATGTTGGGAGCTGGAGGCGGTTCCAGCGGCCGAGGATTGCCGCGTGAGCGAGCTGTGAGCATCGCCGTTGGTGCCGTTTGTGGATGCTAGCGAGGGGGCGGCCGAGTTTCTTCGGATGAATTTGGCCCTAAGGCGAGCTCTGATATCACCAGCAGCACCCATAGAAGCTCACATCCAGTGCGAGGGAGGGCGCAACTCCCAGGCGAGAGAGCTGAAGTCGCGTTGGGCTGCAAAGAGGAGGAAATGGCGGATGAGCAGAGCAGGTGAGCAGTTGAGCAGGTGCGGCACAGCTGGGGTCCGTAAACCGTATGTGTCGTGTCGTGTCGCGTCGCGGCGTGTGGCGGTGGCGGGTGATATACTCTTGTTTGGTGGTGATCAGGTGGATTGATGGATTGATAATAATTGTTACAAGGTTGGGTCTTTTGTGACTTTGGTCTCGGTGACGCTTCGTCCAGGACCGCGGTAGCAATGAGACAGACACAAAAGAAATGTAAATGCTACGTATGCGTGGAACACGCAAAGCTGGGTTGTTGGGTTGGTTGGGACAAAAAAAACAAAAGGAAGAATGAAAGAGGCGAATGAATATGGATCGGTACGATGCAGTTGGAGAAATGGCAGGCCTTACACTGGGGGTAGCGGAGAGAACAGGACGGCGTGGATGGCATATGAAGGGATAAATGATGATTACCTTCCTGGACTTCGACTAGAGCCTTCAGCCATGAAGCAGAAGCCTTGGATTCAATAAGTAGGCCAAAGGTAAGGCGGGCAGGTCCAGGACGAGGCCCCCCCGACAGACAACGTACGTGGGTAACGAATTCGAGGCACCTAACCTTAGGTAGCCCAGTTTGCTAAGGTACCTTACCTAGACGAGTCGACGATGCCAAATCTGCCAGTAACGCAAGGTCTATCGTTGGCAACTGGGGAAAATCGCAACCCATAGATGAGGTGACAACAGTAGCACTCTAGGCCATACTCACGAATAGGAACGGTACGGACACAGTCAATACAATGGCAAAAAGCCTGCTTTCCTCCTTCATTTCCCACACCTGGCCGCCATCTTTCGTGCTGCAGTCGACCCACCCCCTTTCCCCCCTTATCCTCATTGGCGCTCTTATCCCTGGTTGCCTCAGTTCCGACTTGCCCAGCTGTTGTTCATCGAGATCTTGCACGCCAGCGCGCCCGTGCGTGCGAATCCCCAAACGGCGTTCCGACATACCACACTGAATATGACCACTTCGTGAGTTTGTCAATGAGTGAATACCATGTGAAATTCGAGGACAACTTCCTGGCCAAGATAAACAACAAGCGTTCGTACTTTAACTTGTAGTGAGTGTCCTAGTACCTGGGCGGCCAAGGTATAATGTCGGGTACCTAAGGTAGGTAAGGTACCTACGCTCACAGCTGTCGGCACCTACCTGACACTAAGGTTCCTACCTACCCGACATGACCCACTTCACCTTCGACATAGGTAATACTGAACTAAATAATGACATATCCATCGGTTCTGCAAGTTCAGCCTCGTATCACAATAGCCCATCGTTGGAGCTCAGCAAGTGTTGCCCATCATGTGCGTCGAACCGCAAGAGACAGAACAACGGTATGATAGGCCTGTCCCACGCCCTCCAAGGCCGCCCACCAAATCCAACCATATCCGCTCCCACAACCGCCGCCGCGAATTTCTCACCAGAAATCCCCAATACTTCCAAAACTCAGAACACCAGCTAGCAGGTCGGTCTATCGCGTTATTCACACGGCCACATATCATCTACGTTTCGAGAGACGCTCATAATAACAGCATTCTAGATCCTCTTCTCTACGACACCCTGGTCCGCAGATTTCAGACGCCCGCAGAGCGAGAGGCAGATGGCCGAGCCAAAAGCTACTCCCGTGTTTTAGAGGAGTCGTTGCTAAGGGGAGAGGCCCGCCTTGCCGACCTCAACAAGTCTTCAGCTATTGGCGGTGATGCTGAGAAGATTGACTGCGCCAAAAGCTTCACCACAGAATCTGATCTTTCCAAAACACAGAATAAGCAGGATGGGCTGGATAGATGGACCGAGTTTCTGACTGAACGTTTTGTTCACGGTCATGATGACGATTTCGACTACACACAAGTCGATAACAACGACGAATACGACGACATGGAGAGACGCGACGCCGAGGACGCATGGTTTGATGCGGAAGATCCGAGTTGGGCTAGCGACGCGGAAGACGACCAAAATGGCCGTGTCAGTCATGGCACGCAAAAGCGAGGAGAAACTGGTATCCAAGACTTCTGAACTGGGTGGTGAAGCCGCCACGAGCGATTCACTTTGAGACTTTCGTATTTTACAGTCTCCGCTCCCGATTCGACATCCCGTCGCGCCATCGTTCTTTCCATTCTCATCTTATTCAGCTCGGCTAAACTCGTCTTGCCGTGAAGCGGGCCGTAGCCTCCCGTCCACCATCTTCAAATCCTCGACAGGACTCACATGCTACGCTGAACGAATGGGCGTCACCCCGGATTGCGCGTTGTCGCCGTGATGGAAATTTGCTCATCTCTTCATATGCTTATAGACGGCGTGTAGTATGCTAGCTGAGCAAATCCCATGACGTCGGGGCGACTCCCGTCAGGCTTGGCGGTGACCCCGCTGTGAAGTTGGGGCGCGTCCTGGACAGGGTCCAGGATGGGATAAACCGGGAAAATGCGCTGGATAAATTCAAAGGACGCTGGCTAGCCGTCCCGCAAATTCCACCTTACCGGGCCAGCTTGTGTCGGCCATATCTTCCACAACCGCAGTCCCAATATCCATGGGTGGGGAGCGAGATTCCTACGAACATATTTAAGAGCCTCCCTTCCTCCTCTCTCTAGTACTGATATCGTGTGAAGAAAACGTCCTTCGGATATCTCTGTCGTCGGCAAGTTGTGCTTTCGAAAAGAGAACCAGCCACCAGAGGGTACAACTAACCCCAACTTCGACCGCCCAAACCCCCGCATTCAACCCCGCACTAGATCGCTACTTCCCCTCTCCCTCTTGTCCCCCCGTTGTGTCAGTCCCCATCCTCCACGATGGCGCCCCTCATCGATCACATTTACACGGCCGACCCCTCAGCTCATGTCTTCAATGGCAAAATTTACATCTACCCCTCTCATGACCGTGAGACGGATATTCAGTTCAACGATAATGGCGACCAATATGACATGGCCGACTACCACGTCTTTAGCACCTCGTCGCTGGATCCTCTCGAGCCCGTCGTAGATCACGGTGTCGTGCTGAAGACAGAGGACGTTCCGTGGGTTTCGAAGCAACTCTGGGCCCCCGACGCCGCCTTCAAGAATGGAAAATACTACCTGTACTTCCCTGCTCGCGACAAGCAAGACATCTTCCGCATTGGCGTCGCCGTGTCGGACAAGCCCGAGGGCCCTTTCACCCCTGACCCTGAGCCTATCAAGGGTAGTTACAGTATCGACCCGGCCAGCTTCGTCGATGATGACGGGCAGGCATATCTCTACTTTGGTGGTCTGTGGGGCGGTCAGCTGCAATGCTACCAGAAGGGTAACGATATGTTTGACCCCGAATGGCTAGGCCCTAAGGAGCCCAGCGGCAAGGGGGTTTTTGCTTTAGGTCCCCGTGTCGCCAAGCTCACGGAGGACATGCACCAATTTGATGGCGAGGTCCAAGAAATCCTCATCCTTGACCCCGAGACGAAAAGGCCTATTCTGGGTGATGACCACGAACGTCGCTTCTTCGAGGCTGCGTGGATGCACAAGAAGGATAACCTCTACTACTTCTCCTACTCGACGGGTGACTCTCACTACCTCTGTTACGGAACAAGCGAAAGCCCTTTTGGTCCCTTCACCTACGGAGGACGCATTCTTGAGCCTGTTCTTGGCTGGACGACACATCACTCGATCGTGGAGTTCAAGGGCCAGTGGTGGTTATTTCATCACGACTGTGAGCTGAGCAATGGCGTGAACCACCTGCGATCCGTCAAGGTCAAGGAGATATTTTATGATGCGGAGGGAAGGATCATAACGGAGAAGCCTTGATAGATGTGGCGTGAAGCAAAATGGATTCTTGATTTCTGATCTCTCTCTTGACCATACTTGTTTTTGTACCGTCTCAACAGGTAGTACTTCTAATAATCCTCCAACCAAAATGACTACTTGACCCTCATATCCTTAAGGGCTTACAGTAGAGAACCAAGAATTGGCTACGGCGATTTGACGCCAATTCCTATTTCCCGTCGCTCATGCTGACAGACTTCGAGTACATAAAGTGGTGCTTGCAGCGAGGCATTATGAAATAGTATACTAATAGCAAGGGTTTGCGGGGGGTATATGGGGGTAAATAGGAAAGCTAGGCAAATACCTATGACAAAGGGAAGAGAAGAAGACGGAAAAATGAAAGAAACCCGTATGAGATAGGTAGGCCGATAGCCGCTTGGGTTCGTTAGGCTGTCTCAACAACGCCAAAACGCAGCTTATTCAAAGCCTCTTCGTACTTTGCGGGGCTGTGGTCGATCAGCATGCTCGTACCAAATCGCACCTCTCTAAACCTAGACTCAACATTTCGGACGTATTTGAGAACAATTCTTTGAGCCGGCCTGCCTATGTCTTCTTCATCGGACAAAAGAAAAGCGTCCCGCCTCAAGACTCGCGTCGACTCCACTAGGAAGACTTCGCCGGGGGGCAAAAGCTTGAGACTCATCATGTTAGAGCGCAGAGTCGTCAGCGCCGATACACTCCACTTGTCCTCTTCGGCAGAGCTTGAGCGGCTGCTATTTGTGTACCACTTGTCGGCCAGACCGGACTGGAAAGCCTGCCAGATCCGCTGTCTCACCTCGCCCTTTGCCTCGTGGTTGTCGCTCTTGAATGCGAGAGCGACAGCTTGAAAGTCGTGGAGCACACCCAATGACAGAAAGGGAACCAAGTCGCTGCCGTGGACGACACTTGTAACGAGCCCTCTGGTGGCCTTGCGCAGCGATGGCGACATGGTCCCCGGCGGCCCGTATGCATATACATGAATGGGACGACCTGACGGCAAGCACACATGCGTTGTATCGGTTTGCAAGAAGCGGCCATCTCCAAGGAGGCGGCGGTGAGGCTCGGACGATGTGACGAAGCCTGTGCCGGTGGCAGAAGGCTCTGCAAGCATCGTTCCGAGGAGTGCGGTGACTCCGCCGCCGAGTGAATGGCCGCAAAGGACCAATCCGTAGTCACTGAATTCGTCAAGAGCCTCCTTCAGCGTATACAAGACGCGGCCATCGCCACCGTACAGCAAACGGCGGGCAGACGCGTGGATGCCCTTATGAACCTTGTACGACTTGCCCCTCCAGTACAAGTTGTCGTAATCGCACGCCATGTCAGCCAAGACATCTTCAAAGCCAAGTGTGCCACGACATGCCAGTACGACTGCCTTAGACTCATGGTCTAGAGAGATATAGTGCACCAAAGGAACCCCGGTTCCTGTCGAGCCAGTCGTGTCAGAGCCACCTTGGGGATCAACAAATGAAGCAAGCAGAATGCTCGCGGCTTCGGATTCGGTATGGTGGGCAAAAGATCGTATCTCGTGATGGGTGTCATCTAAAGCTCTCAGAATGGGCATCTCTTTAGAGATACCCATGAACTTCAGAAAATTGGATCCATATGATGCTGATGAGAACCGCATATACCGTGTGACGTTGCGAAGGAGATGGAATGCTGGGAAAACTCCATCCACAATGCCAGCCCTTCTCAGGGTGTCGATGGCCTCCGAATCCGTGTAAGCACTCTTTTGGTAGTATGAAGATAAAACCAAAGACGTTTGCGAGCCCGTTGTCGCGATGCTGTATAAACTCGGAGTGTTGACATGGGAGCGAGCTCTACGGGACTTCATGGGGGAAGAGGGCTTCTCATTCATATCCCGTTCTGATCTGGACTTGGGAATGCCATTCTGACCTTGACCATCCCGACGGCCGTAGGCTGGAGAATGCGGCCGGTATCCGTCAAACGTATGAAAAGAATATGTATCTGTTTGCGAGACTACCGAGTCGCGCCGACGCTCGTGCACAGAGATGTAACTAGCCCGTGACGAGCTGCGTGGAACAGGAGAGGGCACATCGTAGTTGCGGCCACGCGAGTTCGACGCGGCAGTAGGCCCCATCGCTCTGCTTTGAGATGGATGGCTGGTGGGCGCCGGCGTACGCGTGGCCCTTTCTCGGAGAGGGGCTTTCGCTGCTGGCTTCACCTTCCCGGACGAGTGAGAGCTCCCAGGACCTGGCCCGTCCCGGCTGAAAAGATTGGAAATGTTAGAACTTGTGCCCCTTTTCAACGCTTGTCTGATACCGCCCTTCTTCTCGGAAGGTTTTTCAGAAGGCTTGCCAGACGAGGCAGCTTCACTCTTGGCCCTCTTGGGAGTGTATTTGTTATCAGATTGCGACGGGGCAGTCACTTCTTGTCGTGGTTTGACAGGGAGAGGTGCTAGAGGTGCACGTTGCCGCTTCTGGTTGGGAGCGTTCTCCGGGTTCTGTTTCGGGGTGGGAATCTGCGAGGCTCGGTTTGCCGAGGTAGGCGAGGATAGTCCTGGTCCTGCCTTCGCACGTCGGGGAGTAGGATTAGGCGTCACCTCCTGTCCGGGCATTGAGGAAGGGCTCCGTGATGGCAAAGACTTGGGCGGTACTGGTGGCGGCTCCTCGAAATCAAGCTCCCGGCCGTGATCATCAGACTCCTCAGTATCGTCCATGCACTCCACTGACCCAGCAACGTGCTCTGGCTCTTCGAATCCCCGATATGTTGTACTTCGTTGCTTGTTCTTGTCCACGCGGTAGACCACGCGATATGTCGGGTTGTCGGTCTGGCGTGCCAGCTCCACCTGGCGCTCGGACGATGGGAGAACTTCGCGCTCGACGACCTCAACCCCAGGAGGGGGTGTGACCATGGGGGGTTCGGGACCAGTGAAGTCGACGGTGATCATTTTTCTCGTCAGAGTCGTGGTGGATATGGACACGCTCGTATCCGACGGCAAGGTTCGCATGATTTGGTTCTTGAGGCGTATTTCCGGGAGATCATCGTCTTCATCTTCACTTGTGTCTTGGCCCCCGTGACGTTCGAGAGCGGCCAGAACATTGGGATTGGACTGGTCGCTGGGCATTGACACCAGGATGTCGGGGCCCTTGCTCTGATAACGACCCTTGTGAACGCCATATAGACTGTTCTCGTGTACATCCACCCGTTCCCCATCGTTCAGCACGACGACGTCCCAAACAATCTCCTCAAAACCCAGACGGCGAGTTTCCTCCTCCAGAAAACGGCGGCATT